ATGTATTCACTGTAATCAATAAAAGTACATTTATATTATAACTAATACAATTTCATGGCAAGCACACTAAATCACCCTACATTTTTTTATTTGGTATTAACAAGAAATCTCATTTTGTACACCATTAAAAAGAGTTTTATTTATCCCACTTTAGCTCTGAGGACTTCATTTTGGCATGTTACTTCTTAAAATATGCTATTTACAGCCAGAACAATTGTTATGTACTCGCTTCAAAATTAAATACTCCCTGATGATGAACAGACACCCAACCACAGCATAGCAGGAAATGGATGTGTACAACTATGTTTTGTTTCACTTGTAGAAAATGTTGTTCCTGCCAGGAATCACACCCTGCTTCTCCAGTCCATAGTGAGTCACATTACTGACAGTGCCATACTGGCTTAAATAGTGGAAAAAATAGTTACAAAAGACTAAAATGAAATAATAACAACAATAAAATGTGGTAGAGAAGGAAAAAGTGGTTATGAAAGAAACAAACCTGTTACGCAATGAAAATATAGCACTAGATATGATCTGACAGATACACAATCATAAAACTTAAACAGAAGTAATTTAAGATTTGAGGTTTGAGGTGAGTATGAAGATTTCTGTCTTCTGGGTTGTTGCGCTGCGTAGTCTGGTTGATGTTTACCAACGTTTCAGAGGTCCTGGAAGCCACTTATTCACACTCTTCGAGGACTCCGAGAGCGATCCAGAGTGCACCGCCAGAACCAACCAGACCACTAAACTGGCCCTTTTCAGGGCCCTGATCACATTCAACCGACCTCCCGATGTCCCACCGGACGCACTTCCCGAGCCCCCTCTCTCTCTTTTCCTTCTCTCCCTCTCTAACACTCGCCAACGTCCTCCTATTGGTCCACTCCCTCGCCTGCTCCCATTGGCTCGGGGCAGGCTACTCCATTCACAGTCCGGCTCCTATAAACCTACCCCCACACCCCCTACTGGCATATTCATCGCCTTGATGATGGAGGCAGTATGACCTCTGAAACGTTGTTAACATCGACGAGACTACACAGCGCAACAACCCAGAACACAGAAATCTTCAGAAGTAATTTAATTGGACATTTTCTTTCTGTTACCACCTTTAGCACATTACCACAAATATGTCTGTGGTTTGATTTCTTTATATTCTTATTTAAGAAACTATCAACATTTTTCAGTTGAATAAGGTGAAAACAAAAATACATGTAACACTAAACCTGTTACATACTCCAGTCAATGTCATTTCATATGTAAGTACACCCAAGTATACTTCAGCACACATCAGCCTACAGTCTTATTTTATGCTGCATTAGTAACAATCTCATCTTTTGGCATATTACAACATTAACATGACAGTAGACAGTACAATTAATATTATGAGGAAAGAAAAAATAACAACTGCACATTATTTGAAGGAAAAATAGTCACACTGTCAGAATGTTAAGTGTAAATGTAAGAATCACAGATTAAAGCAATAATAATAATAATAATTATTATTATTATTATTATTAAGAAAAAATTAAACAATCTGCAAAATTCATAAAGTATCAAGTATGAATTATGAGTGGCAGTATAATTATAACATATGCAGGAAGACCAATTAAACCATGTCCTAACCTTACATTATCACCAACACTTTGTTAGCCATTATTTCAATAATGATGAATATATAGAATTAAAAACAGTCTGAAACGAACATTACTACCAAAGAATAGACAGGCATTATCAAATAAGTTCCAGTCTTTTCTAGTCATTATGTAGTTTTCATTTGTAATATTTAATCTCTTAAAGATTACATTTCAGAATATTAAAATCAGTATTCCCTTGTTCCTTGTTAAAATTCAATTACTCTGTCATCTGCTGTCATTTTCTTACACTGAAAAAAATATGGCATAATCTGATGCATGTTAGCAAAATATTCTAGAAATGACAGAATGGTAAGTTGTTCAAGCGATCACTTGCAAAATAATCTGGAAAATTTTGGAAGGAGTAATAAACAATCTGTGATGTTGATTCTCCCTATCTTTTTATGAACAGTTATAATTATCTTATATACAGGCTGTCCCAAAAAGATCTATACACATTATAATATGGTGGCCATTTTGAACATCTACACTAGATTTAATTGACTAAGTGTCAGTGCCGATGTATGTAATGACTTAGTTTATTAAAATGTCTTTATTTCATTCACTGAATGTGTTATACACCTTCTTGTGAAACTCTGTATAGTTTAGCTTTGAAATATAACTCTGTATGTTTATCATATAATAAACAAGCAGTCACATTGGTGAAAAGTTTATAAAAACGTAACTTACTTATCATGAACTCAAAAATAAATTACAGGATTTTAATTCCCACAATCACTTGCAACATGAAACCCTGATGAATAACGGATGGGAGTCTCATAACTTTAACAATATTAAGTGATACAGTCCAATAACTAGAGATCGAGTTTCTTCTCTACAAGAAGAAGAGGGAAGATGGCTTCTCCCTGAGTTGGATATGGAAGTCTCTTTTTCAAGACCTGAATGAACACACATTCTCTCACCAAGGAATCTATCCTGTCCTGTGGTGGCTCTGGTAAGAGCTTTCTTCTTCTATCCCACCCTCCCCCCTCCATATACTGCTAATTCTCTGATGCCTGAAGTCTCCCCATTGGCCCAGCTAAATCTCTACCTCTTTCCATTCTGACTAGCCCATTTCTTTTGACCTCCCTTCGTGCCACTCTATAAAATCCCCTTAAACCCCAGCATTGTCACTTTCGCTCTGAAGATGGAGATGACACAATTCTCTGAAATGTTGGCATCTATCAACCAGCCAACAAGGCACCAGAACCCAAAAGAACACAATCATCAATAATTAGAAAGTCATATTTTCAAAATGGGGCAGGAATCAGTCAGCAACTGAACCTCTTTGCTGCAGGGATCATCAGATATACTGACGTCAGTTTCGTCTGAGTCATTCTGCCTTACTGACACTGAGTACACATCATTTAAAATTTACAGTTTTGTTGTGTCAACTGTATTTACTGTCTTCTCTAAAACTATCTATAAGCTTCAGTAATCTTTTGGGAACAGTTTAAACTACTGATATGTTCACATTTCAGTTACAATGTGATAAAGAAATAAGACTTTACTTATATCATTTTCATAAAAACAGACACAGGGGCACCAACCAAAAATTTAAATATCTGATTCCTCAAGGAAAAAATATGAAACAATTAAAATAATTCACCACTTTGGGAGTCACTGCAGAACTTACCAGCATAACAGTGAAAGTGTTAAGAAGAAAACAATTAAAGATATAGGAATCCAACTTTTAATCTGCACAGCAGATTTCACTTCTTGATGTCAGTAATTTCTAACTATGTAATAATATTTTTACCTTCATATGTATAATTTTGCTACAAATTCTTTATAAATTATTGCATTTAATTTTCTTCAGAAATACAGTCTACAGCATACTACAATATATCCAAAGTACTTAGAAAGATATAAACATGAACTATTACAATGTATTATAGAGAAATACAAGGAATAACACAATCATAATTTTGTAGATAAGATTTACATTTCCAAGATAAATCTTCGACAAACACATAATAAAATTAAATAATGAGTGGGGTATTCTTTTATAACAATTTATAGTTACGGTATGGTTATGAAAACTGTAAGGGCTCAGACACATCTAGAAGAGAAAATTGAAATTTTAAACCCAAATGCAGAAGATTACAGGTTAATGCAGTTCTGATTTTTGTCAGTAACACTGGGGAAAAAACTGAATTTCTACTTAATGTTATTCTAGGCCTTTTATGGCAACAACAGCTGCATTAGAAAATGGTGTTATAATTGAAAATGATTCCTTTTTCCCCTCAAAATCTGGAACTTCTTTATCCAATCTTATGAATTCTGATTTAGTTTATAGTGATAACTTTGAGGCCCATAATCACAGAAGAGATGTTCATGAGAACTGTACGACCAAATTACTCATATGTTCTGACACTGAATAATTGCTGGTTGAAGTACTTTCATTTTGAGACCTTACCTTACCCTGTGAGGTGAACATAACTGATCAAACTACAACAGCACCAGCCTCACTGCGGCTCTCTGGCAGAGGCGGACAGTCATGCCATGTGTCTGCCAGTGGGTCATAACATTCAACAGAGGAGATGGTGATCTGAGCCCTGTAGAAGTTCACTTCATGTGTCTGGTCACCACCAATAACATACAACAGCCCATCGGCAGATGCTACCGCAGGACTTGCACGACCCACTTTCATGGACGGAACTTTGTTCCACTTATTCTGAAAATATGAAAAACTGAATTTTGGTGTTGTATAATACAACATCTATCAGCCAAGAAAGCTCAAGTCAGTATAGTGTCTGACTGTAAAATGGATGACCAGGGTTTGACCCCACAGGGGAGCAGGGGATAAACTGTTATGATGAAGACATACCTCTTCAAAAGAATATCTCTCAACTGACTGCAGAACTTCATGATGACGATTAGTACCACCCACAACATAGAGGTAACCATCCAACACGGCCACACCCATCTGACTACGAGGCACCAACATTGGAGGCAGTGTCGACCACTCTCCTGTTACAGGGTTAAAGCTTAGAAGATCTTGTAAATGACGTCGACTGTGCGTGCAGCCACCCACGATGTAAATCAAACCTTCAAAAGAAAATAATATGATTAGCAGAAAAGAAATCAACATTTACAGAAATGAACTTACAAACAGGAGAAAAGAATAACAAACAGAAGAGTGATATGGTTAGTGTTGCCATTTCTTAAACTGCATTATTCTGAAACTTTTAATACTAGTATTTCTGTAATGTAGTTATGAAGCTAAGTATTTTTGTAATTCAGATCACAAACACTAAATTTTAATATTCAATTTCTGTAATGTAGTTATGAAGCTAAGCATTTTTGTAATTCAGATCACAAACACTGAATTTTAATATTCGAAACACCAGCAGCTTTTCTGGACTGTAACAAATAGGTAACATGAAACCCAGCATAACAAAGTCAAATTTACTTATTTTTTATTACTTATTTAACTTTAACTTTTTTGCCATGAAAGAATGGCTTACAGTATCATTATGTTTCTGTGTTATTGTAACAGGTTTTGAGCCTACTGACATATTTGCCTTAAACTTTGTATAAACATCCTTTAATAATTATAAGATGATGGATATGGGAACTTCTGAAACGAAACCGACACTAGCATAGCAACCTGAAATTTTGTTTTAATAAATCTCTCTTGTTAAAATATTTCAACCTCAGTTGCACAGCTGGTTTCCAGTACAGATTTCAATACAAGGCTTCTGAATATGAATCAGGAGTGCTAACCACTTGACTGCAACATTTGGTATAATATTTCAAGCTATATAAGGTAATCAAGAAAAAAGATAAAATACATTTAAAACTTGAATCCATTTTCATCAGTAAATTTGGTATTCAATGAGATGAATATTTCTGGTTCACCCATAAATCTTCTTATGAATCATTCACTCACCATCATATGAGACTACACCCATGCTGAATCTTGGTTCTGGTAAATCTCCTTCAAGTCTCCACTCATCTTGTGCTGGATCATACTTCTCAATGGACCCTCCAATATCCTCCCCCACCCAACCACCAACAGCATACAAGTTCCCATACAAAGCGCACAGTCCAAACTCACAACGAGGCACCACCATACTTGCTACCTTACTCCACGAATCTTCACGAGGGTCATAACATTCACCATTAGCTAAAATCTGTGATTCCTGTTCTCCACCAACAACAAAGATTCTTCCATTAAGAGTCGCCACACCTGGAAGTATCCGCCCGATGCCCATGGGTGATGCGCGGCACCACTCTCTCCGAAATGTGTCGAATCTTTCCACTGACTCATAAGTGCACTCCGAAGATCTTGTCCATGCACTTACAAGTTCCCGTTTTGAACCACCAATCACAAAGATGTCTTTCTTAGCACATAGACGTGGGTGGACATAAAGAGGTACCAAACTTCCTTTCTTAGTAACAAGATCCTTACGTACTGAACGAAGAGCAACTTTGAGACTTCCATCCCCACAGTCATTGATCGCACGCTCCAAGAGACACAAAGACAGCAATGGCAGACGTACGTGCGACAAGATCTCAAATACATAACGACGGCGCTTAGTCACATCATGCATGATCCATCTCATGGCAGCCTGGAACACCTGGAACATAATTCATTGTCACCACACAACAAATTTCAAGAATGCCACTTAATATTATAGACTACAGCAAAATATAATTGTATTTCTTTCACAGCTTTCCTTCTTTTAATCAAAGAGACTGTTGTACCAGTTATGCAACAAAATATGCTTAATACATCAGACTGACCTCACTTCTTCATTACACTGTCTCTTTTACAGGAGGTTGGCGACATATTATGAACAAGATCCTTCCATCCTTTTCTCGGACTGGGACCTGTTCATATGTTTTTAGGCAGGTGATACAGAAGTGGTTTGCCATTGCCTTCTTCTGTGTGAATGGAGTATGGAGTAATTGTTGGGACGCCATGGAGAAACCGGGGAAGTCCCGGAGGAAAACTTTGTGTTGCCTAGACCACAGCCTTGCCCAACACAAGTTATAAATTCAGGCCCCGCCGGGAATCGAACCCGGGACCCCAGGATTACAAGGCCAACGTTCTAACCACAGTGGCGATATTACCTCACTAGTGACAGTAAATCCACAAGAATACCTACACTAGACAAAACTTAAAACATTCTTCATTTTAGCAATTACAGAACCTCTTCACTCTTCTGGCCAACATCACTATTGCTTGAGAACTGTATTCCAAACTTTCAGATATCCTTACTATCTCCACCATCAAGGTGAAGTGACTAACCAGTGGCATCCAAATATACTTACAGTAATGATGTCTGGAACTGTACTATGAGTACTGGCACGGGCCACTGTGTAGTCACTTTGCCTTGAAGACAGAGACAGAAAGGATCTAAAAGAATGTCAGAAATACAGCTTATATCTATACAGTGCTATTACCAAGAAAACAGGATCCACATTAGAACGAAGACAGAAAATATCCAGCATTAAAAATAAAAACATCAAAGAAAAGATGACACTGGATACAAATAATGTACTTAAAATTTACAATGAAATAATATTATTCTTACTTGAAATTCAGTATCAACTCTTAAGTGTTCACTAGAAAGAAATTTTGTCAGCAACTCTTTTGGAAGCTCAAAGAATTCCTCTTCATTGCAAATTTTTGGAAAATGTAGCTGAATAAATTCAACAGCCATATTTGCTAGTTCCTCACAGTTGTGGCCTTCAGCAAATCTGAAGAAGAAAAAACGAAACATTTTACAACCAACAGCATAATAATTTATGTGTTCTTTATACCCAGTACAAAAAATAAATGTAGTGAAAGTATTTCCCACCATTAGCCATGCCACCATAGAGTGAAACTTCAGTGTTTATATTATAAGTAGTTGCTAGTAATTCCTCATCTAACTCTGGAAAGGTTCAGGTGTATAAAATGAATGCACCACACAGAAGATTTATTTGAAGGAAAGCAGCAGAGGAATCCCACATTAAGAACCCTTTTTAAGAGTTTGGTTCTTTAAATGAGAATCTGTTTCCATCATTCAACATACTTTCTTACCCAATAATAAACAGCAGTGGACTTATAAATAATGCATGTAACATAAACATAAAACAGAATTTTTTGTTAAAAATACTGTACATGGAGCATATATGAAGTGTATGCAGGGGATAAAACTGAGAAAATTCAAATTTGAAAAGATAACTTCAAACATTATTATATCTGTAGCCACTGTAGTAATATCACACATAAATGGAGGTAGCATCATGGAGTTTGTTGGCCATCTATTAATTCCAACACTATTCACGTACATTCAATACAATGTTTAATTTACAATTTGATGCTCATATCAAATGTCTTCAAAATCTATTTAATAAAAAACTTCCTGTAAGACAGATATGGATCAGAAGATTCTAACCTGTCTTTTCTTATAAAATATGGAAAGGAGTGTGATGTGTTGTTTTGTTGTGTCTTATTGTTTTTGTTGTGTCTTATGTTTTTTGTGTCTTATTGTTTTGTTGTGTCTCATTGTTTTGTGTCTTATTGTAGGACCACTGCCACTGGGTAAAAACCCATTTGCAGTCAAAATAAATAATAATAATATAAGGGTTCTTACAATAGTAAAATTAGACCAACTGCAAAGGAATAGATAATGCAAGAAACCCAACCTACACATAGTGCTCAAAATAACTAGCTGGTATCTTATTTTACCTGTAGATTCCAACAGCATTAGTTGCATGAAGCTCATGTTTCAGAAAATCTGTACATCCAACTACAACTTCTTTCAATTCCAGCATATCTGCTGCAACCATCAATTCTTGCACATTTTCTTGGTTGATGTTGATCTCACCTAAAAAAATCACAAACCAAATATTATACTACGACTATGATTTATTTACAGTTTCTCTTTTATTTTTTGTTTGATTCACGTTATAGCAGTAAATATTACAGAACAGCTAAGTTTGAATATCATGCCTTAATTTTATGGACACACTGTATTACACACCTGTATATATGAAGTCAATCAGACTGTTAAGGATTTGCGGAGGTATGTCATGCAACTCTATCGTATCCATCTGTTCTTCTAGCAGTCCTGTTGTAAACATTGCCTGGAAGTACAGGCTACTAGCAGACAGGACAGCGCGATGAGCCTGAAAATAACATCACACAATCCTTTATATTCTCAAACCCTTACAGCAAACTAAAATAAAGTCGTCCTACATGCAATGGAGGTGCTTGAGGAGAGGGGAGGTAACTCCTACTCACTCTTGACCTCAGCACTAGATGGAGATGAATGGTCAGAATCATGCCCTGGCTGTTTTACCCCTGGGGTAAAGATCCCTGGTACCCATTGGATAGGAGGTCGAATGGACCGCAGATCTGGTCTGGATGCAGATAAAAAAAGTCCTGTCCCTGCCAAGGATTGAACCTTGGCTATCCAGTCTGTAGATTTTTAAGATGAGATTTGAGGTCAATATTTAAGTTACTGAACAACTCTGTTTCAACTGAAGAAGTTATATAGCAATGAATGAGACGTAAAAATTATTAAAAAGTAAAGCTGTCTGACTGCATGACATGTAGGTGCTTGGAGAGACAGGAGTTATCTCCTACTCATTCTTAACCTCAGCACTAGACAGAAGCGAGTGGTCAGTGTCATGCCTAGGCCACGCTTTACCCCTGAGAAAGAACCCCAGTACCCATTGGACAAGAGGCTGAGTGGGGCCAGAGCTGGTTGGGCACACAGGTTACAGGAAAAATCTTCTGCCCCTGTTGTGGATCAAACCCCCAGTCATCCAGTTCATAGTCAATCACTCGACTGACTGAATTACCCTGGGGAAAATAAATGTCAAATAGATAAATATTTGAAAAAAGCAGTAATTGCTTATTTCAAGGAATTTTCCTTGCATTCACCTGGAGAGACTGGGGAGAAACTATGACAAATCTCAGTCAGGATAGTCGATAACCAGGCCAAGAATTGAGCAGGGTACCTCTGAAACAAAATGCAGGACTATCAGTGCTACACAACCTTATACCTTGAAGGCCACAGTTCAGACAGCTGGTTTGATTAATTCTTGTCAATGAACAATGTTGTTTCAATTGTGGACATTGTGGTTCTCTAAGGATATTGGACAAGGAATGATTCATTATGCAAATATTAAATTGGACATTGTCCAGTGACTAAGTATATTTGATATACATGATATTTTGAGAGTTGGATCTACTCCCATCTTCAGGTGACTGGATAAAATTACAGTGACAGATGTATTGCTACTATTCTATTTCAATATTGGTGGTAACAGTTGTGTCTCAACCTATGATATTTTTGAAAACTAGAGGTGAAAATAAATGTACAAATAGTTCTAACAAAAGAAAACTCTTTAATGCAGAAACAGAGAGAGAAGAAAGAAGAACACAACAGAAAAAAGTTGGTCTGAATACTTGTTTTCTGTTCATACAATTTCTTCCACACCGTGCATCCTGCAATATATCTGAGAAAAAACAAATTGGAAAGAATTATGGCCAATGATCACAAAATATGTGCTTTAATGGAATAATGAAAGAGAAAAGTGAATATGAGTACTACTTGGTAACAATGTAGTACACAGCACAGCTTAAGACATCACATACCAGCTATCCCTTGAAATTAATTTATTTGCAAATTATGGTATTGAGTTGTTACACTGTGTAGTCTCATAAGTACGAGGCGCGTCCACAAAGTAAGTTTCCCACTTGTCCCACAGCTAGCAAACCTTATATTGCGCGAAGCGACTGTGCGTACGTGATAGAGCAATGACGTAGCATGGCGCATGCACTAACGGCACTTCCCGCGTTCTCACAGTAGCATCGTTGCAGCTGTTGAAGATGGAGGTTCTTATTCCAGCTCCCGCCGGCTGTGAAGTGCGGTCAGTGATAACGCTAGGCCGCACACGGCTCGACGGACAGCAAGTCTCCTGCAGGAGTTCAGCTGGGAGGTGTTTAATCATCCACCCTACAGCCCGGACCTCGCTCCCAGTGATTTCCATCTTTTCCTACACCTCAAGAAATTCCTGTCCGGTCAGCGTCAGCGTTTTGAGAATGACAGAGAGGCGGAGATGGTTGTCACACAGTGGTTCCAATCCCAGGCGGCAGACTTCTACGACACAGGTATTCAAAAGTTGGTCCCACGGTATGACAAATGTCTCAATTCCGGTGGCGAATATGTTGAAAAATAGCTGGACACTTGCTGTTGCAATAAATATTTCCATGAAATTGTGTTTTGTTTCTGTAAACGGCCCCAGGGAAACTTACTTTGTGGACGAGCCTCGTATATAGCAATGCCCCCACTTTCAGGGTTGGAATGGGGCTATAAGTTGTTGGCTTATACACTATGCAATGAAGGTAAAGGAAACAGGCCATGGACCATAGGCAAACATACATGCCTTAAATGCTATTTGAGGGAGAAACATTACTCAGAGTACGAGTACAGACAACCCATGTAAAATATAAATAAATTACGAAAACATCTTAAAATAAAAAGACATACACCCTAACAAATCGTGCACACAATACTTATTCATTAATGCTCACAGTATGAAGTATGGAACTAGAGGTATGAATATTACTACCTAACCTAACATAATCTAAACCAAACCAAAGTTTACCTCAATAACACTACTCTAATGTTAAATGAGAATTATGTTGCAATCACTGAATAATAGTGTGGCATGTGCTGATTAAAACAATGAGACATTATTTCATGTCTCAAAGTTAAGTAGGGCCTCACACGACAGCAATGGGTAGATCCACTAGCAGTTCAATAAATTTAACCAATAATTCATGCAAGCAATGAAGGAAATAACAATTACTAAATAATAAGTTAAAGATTTAATCAGACATTGGATTTCACCTTCATAACTCTGCCACCTGCAACAATCTCCACATCACAAAATCTGGTGTTTTGGCGAAGTAAGTTCAAATTTTGAAGCACTTTGGAAGCATAGTGACGACATGAAAACTTCTTGTCAATTGCAGAAGTACTTGAAATTTCGTTGCCAATCAGTGGAGATGTGGTCAAGTGACGTTGCTGTCCTACAGTTGATACTCTGCCACCTGATGAATCACTGCTTTTAAGTGGAGGCATTTCAATGCTAGCCATCAAATCATGGAGAAAGCGGCGACTCCAAGCTAAATGGTAAGTGTTCTCATTAATAAAATGCCAATTACTGAAGAGATCATTCTTTACTTTCAAAAGCAAATAGTGATACCTTTTAAGACACTCTAAATAAATAAAACTCACTCTTCTATGTGAAAATGATGAGGCCCAGCAGAAGGCTGTCTTCTAAACTGATTTTCACTCCAGCATATTCTCCTGTTTTTTTGGTGTGGTGAAACTACTCAGAAAATATACATACTACATGAAAATAATAAAAATGCAGCTACTCAGAATATATACGCTAAGTATAACAATAATAAAGAATGTGTAATGTTTTTATGATCAAATGACAGATGTTGAACAGCTGACAACTGTTAACTTAAAAAATCAACCATTAATAAACCTTGAACAGGTCCTTAAAAATGACGATATATTATGGCCACATAAAAGAGTCGTGCTGGGAGAAACAACAGAATAAAGCACTACGATTGTGTGAACAATTAAATTACAACAGTGTAAAACAAAAGACCTTTACCGCAATATCCACACCAACCCATTCCATCCAACCTCTACGATTACAGCACTCCTACCATAGATGAATTCTAGAATTCTACCACAGAATACCAACCACGATTTACTCCTACTTTCTCATTTACTGCGTTTGCGCAAATCATATCCGACATCTTGAAAGTTCCAATTCGATTATTCACTAATGGGTAACGTGCGAGAATCGCTAATCGATTAATATGAATACTATATCACCTAGGAAAGGCAAACGAATGTTTACATACCGTGACTGTTTTTCATGCTTTTCCTCAGCTGAAGGAAAATACCAGGGTGTAATTCAAAAGGGGAACGGCCCCCCCCCCCCCCCGGTAACTCGCTGAGGCCATTGGCCTAAGTGAACACTACCACTTCTGGGTTCGAATTCCAGAGAGCCATCAAACAAAAATCATTCTCACGCAGGAGAAGTTGCCTGATGTGATAATCTCCCACCAGCAGCAAACAGCCCCTAGTTTTGAATAGTCAAGGTTTTCCGCCACAACAAAATTCTCGTAAGCACACTATCATTTGAGTTTTATGCATTGTTTACCATTTCCAGTAATGCGTTTCGTACGTACGTTCAGTGTAACGTAGTAGGACTATACCTTGGTACTTTTTTGATTGGTTAGTCAAATGTTTATTTTGCATTCACTTAACTGAGTGGAATCTGGGAAAGTACCTACAGCAAACATATCTTTCATTGTCCAACTGAAAAAGAAAAAAACCTTAGGCATATATTCTTCTTCTATGGCTCTGCTCCATGGTCTCCTCAATTCTCCTCTTCCATTCTGTCCGAGGCTTTGATTGTGGTTTCGAAACATCTTCCTTTTTACGGTGCAAGGTTTATCATATTCTCATGTCCCACCCTATTTCTACTAGATAGTGCAGAAAACTTAATTAGTAGGCCTTTTAGGGGACCTGCCATTTATTTATTGACAAAATTTATGTAAATGATAAACTAATGCAAATGCACACCAGAAATCTGACCATAACAGCAGAGGAAATCAATGATAAAGGCAAGGTGGTATGAACCACTAAATCAGTAAAGCACAAAAATGTTTTTAAGAAATGCACTGTAAAAATAATGTTATAATCTTATTATTCTTTAGCATTTGTCCCGCTTTTTTTCCTCTCTTTTTGGAGGTTTGCGTGATCTATTTAGACATGTGGTAGGACTCCTTGGACGAGTGATCAGCCTGTCACAAGGCCTCACCTGTACACAGGACAGCTCAATGCAGAAAGACATGGACAAACCTCCATGCCTTGAGTGGGATTCGAACCCACGTTCCCAGTGTGCAAGCATCATAAGGCCCACGCCTCAGACCACACAGCCACTGTGACCGGCTAAATATAATGTTATAATAGACCTAAGAATAAATAAAAACATATATTGAAATGTGTCAGGATTATTTATCAGTGTAAAATCAGTAATTTATTTTTGCTTTTTTCAGATCAAATTACTTAAACACTTTTCAGCCTTCTAATCAATGTTTGAAAATTAAAGATCACAGCCAAAAATAAGAAGGTAATTCCCACTTACAAATCTTAGTTGTTAATAGAGGCAATGAAAACATATTTATAAAAGAAAATTTTATTTAGGTTATATGGTCATCCTTCTAGAGTACACTGATATTGTTTTCATGCATTAGAACCTTATATGACAATCACAAAACCATGTTACATGATGCAATATGTGCTGTGTCTTGAAGTCTACAGTGGGCCAATTAAGAACACCACTACTTTGTTTTAAAAGACACACTGAGCCTTTAAAGGACAGTATCTGTTTTGGAGGTGTACAGAGTTTGGGCGCGCCTCATATCTGGTCTCGATGTTATGGCTAAGTAAAAAGTCTGGCCCTGCCAGGAATCAAACCCTAGTTGTCCACTGAGTGGCCTAATCAGTATACTGATGGAGCTATCCTGGTTTTTACACTGTATAAATATGATCTAAATAGAAAACTGTAAGAATTCATCATAATGTAAAAAATACAATAAAATACTATCACTTGTAAAGTTGTAGAAACAAGTTTAAAACATTCACAGTTTACATACTTAATCATAAATCTGTAGATTACACAAGGTCTAGCAATCATATGTCCTTGATTTACAATAGTGATAATAGAACATAACTATACATTTAATGAAACATTATCACTTGATATATTATATGAAACATACAAAACTATAACTTCTGTATATATAAAATTTAAAATCTGTATTGAAAATAAGATATAATTACATAATAGAAGATATTAAAATCACAGATACATCACTGATATGCCAGTATTTGTTCAAAGTCCCAATCCACAATATTAACACAAAGTGAACATGAACCATACATGATATAAAATTTCAAACAATAGAAATGCATATGTATTACTAAAGGATGTTGTATTAACTTATAATGAGGTAACAAGGGTGAACTGAATAAGCTGTCACAACACATTCAAATCTTATTAATTTTTGTAAGGCATTACCACTCATCTATCAACTAAGCCTCTCCATTCACAAGTCTTACCACAGCACCATCTAATTTCTTATTGGAATCATGTATCTGATGTATTTCATTTTATAAGCAAAGCTAGATGGCTGAAGCATTAATTTTCAAATATTACTGGTCCAACTATGATAGAAATTCTGAAACTGTGTGTAATAACATTAATGCTGTGGTTTTCCTAACCCCTTCCTGGAAAATTCTGGGATAGTATCTTCAATTAGGTTTCACTGCTTCCTTCCCCTTTTCATTCCAATTCATTATTCAATAACCATCCTATAATTTGAAGCTATATAAAGTAATTGATTATAAGTATCATTAAATATTGTGGCTGTCATTAAACCCATTTTACTTTTGGTAAACACTCTCCAGGGTTATATAGTTTGAAAAGACAGGTTTAGACTGTTAATGCAATGTCATGTCCTGTAAATGAAATCTTACTTCTGTTGTTGTGTGTTAAGATATGATACTATTTCACAAATATAATATAGTTTTTTATAAGACCACAGTAAAATGCATCTTAATTCACTTTATAAAAACTACATCACTATACCATGTTTACAAAACAGATTTATAATCCAATTACACAGAGTGGAAAAAAGATATAAAAAATAAAATTTACAATACAAGCAAATGAGTACAGTTACAACTTCAGCTTTATTTCATACACTAACTACTGAAGAGTGTCCTGCACCGTAGCCGCGCGGTCTGAGGCATCATGCTTCGGACCGGTGATATGGAAAGCGCGCTGGTTCAAGTCTCGGGGGAGAAGAAATTTTCTCATCAGCTTTCGACCAGTGTATGGGACCGGTGCCAACCCAGCATCGTGAGGAAATTGGGGAGCTACAATGAGTAGCGTAATCCGGTCAGGAAAGCTAGTAATGGCTGGGGGTTCTTCGTGCTGACCACATGTCACCCTATATCTGGTTGGATGGTCATTCACCTCTGCTTAGGCATGTGAACGTGAGGCCAGCAGTCAGGTAGTCAGCTTTGGCTCTCTGGAGCTGTTACGCCATGGATTTAATTTAATTAACTACTGAAGAGTTTAAAATAAACATCATACAAAAAATGAGTATCATAAACAGTGTTTCTTTGTCTGGTATGGAACAGACTGTATGTTAACTGTTATGAACATTAGGGTGTAAGGGGCAATTTAATCAGGGCATACAATTTGCTGTTTCTCACAGAAATCTTTGTACTAGTCATCAAAGTGACATATTAATTGCTGGTTGCCATGCTAAGAGTGGAAGCATGTTGTTTAAAAAATCAGATTAAACAAGAAAGCATTATATAAAGTAAAAGTAAAGTAAAACCGTCCCACTACATGCCATGTAGATCGTTTGGCGGGTATGGAGATATAGCTACTACTCTTTCTTTGACCTCGGCACTAGACGGGGGTGAGTGGTCAGCATCATGCCCTGGTCGCACTTTATCCCGGTACCCATTGGAAGGGAGGCTGGGTGGGCCCCAGAGCCAGTCTGGACACAGAGACTAGAGGAAAAATCCTCTGCCCCTGGGGATCAAACCCCAATCATCCAGCCCGTAGCTAGTCACTATAATGACTGAGCTATCCCGGCTCAGAAAGCCTTATATATGTACTAAAATGTAAAAAAGTAGGGTAAAGAAATACCAAGTCAATATATTTTAGCAAATAACAAAATATAAGCAATTGAATTTTCATGTATGAAAACCTAATTTCAATGGATTAATCATGTATTTAAACCTTGGTACCTTAATTCCCAATATATATTCCTCAAATGTGGAAGCACATTTAATTATTTGTGGCACAACATACACATAATGGAGTCATTTAACAACTGACTGCTGAAAATTAAACATTTCCTGAATTAAAATTCTTTAGTAATATTCATACATACTTTTGATTTAAAATAATGTTTTTATTCAATAAACAACAAAGACCGAGACATATCGATAGGAACTACAGTTAAGGCAACCCTTGTACCATTCTACAACACGCACATACTATACATGCAAGTTACCTCGAGAGTTGCCTTCCATCTTGCCACTCAATCTGTCTGGTTACATTAAGGTCTCAAAGCAGGCATTCTACTGACTTCAGAAAACAATGGTTATTATTAATGATCTCCCTCTCCGTACTGTGAATTACTTTGTTAAACCTGTTTGTGCTGGTGTTAGCCATTGTTGAAGTGTGTCACTGCACCCAATACTACAAACAAGTAGTCAAAAAGACTGAAGCAGAGCAAATGTTTCCAACCAGACTCATACAGAAACTTTCCATTTTGACCCTCCTCCCCACTCATCCCTTCTTTGGCTTTCAAGATAACCTGTGTGTATAATATTCATGTTTCTTGCCATCATTCTGTACGTTTTACCACTTATTTTTCACATTCTAGCACCAGATAATGATATTCTATTATATAACTGATCATATCTGTACCAGAGGTTCCAAATCTTTTCCAGACTGCAAGCCTTTATAATCTTGCAGGCCACAGAGTTAGGAGGGCAATGTATTAAATATTCTATTAAATTAGGCCTAGAATTGCAAATATATTCACATATTCAATGTTTGTAAAGATTCTTCCATTCTTATCTCTCACTTCAAAATTCCTGAAATATTTGCAGATTCTACTACTCCTCACACAAAATCTTTTCAACTTTTTCTGACTGTCTGTTGTTATTTTACAGCAACCACAACTTTCGGTTTTGTAACACTGCCATATATTTACACCGATCCCAATGCTCTTTCTGACACATTCCTTAATAAGGCAGATTGTAATGAAACCTGTCATTTCTCTTCATATTGACAAATACACAATAGGACCACTGCTTATATATAATACACTTGAGTCAGGTCTACATTTCTGACTTTATACTTTGTGTTAATTACAAAATGTATAAATCATGTCATATAAAAGGTTGGTATTCGAAGTTGAACAGTGAACTATAGTTAACACTGTCACTTATTTCCCTGGAAATAGAGATTCATAAGTTGGGGGCAAGTCTTTATCTTGAGCAATAGTAACTGAAGCACTTTCCTGAGATTCTGTTGGTGCAGATGGTGTAGGATAAGTCCTCATCTCTTCAACCTGTAAATGTGGGTGCATCTCAGCCACAGAGGCTGGAGGTGTTGGATGAGATCCACTGCTGCAGGCACTTGACCAACAAAGTTTCTTGCTGCGTCTCAAGAGCCACAGGCAGATAAGGAATAATAAGAATGCCAACAATACTGATGTTATAGCTCCTATTGTCACTTTTGAGCCAACATCTGACATTCTTGTGCCACCTAAAACATAACATTTTGTAGTGATTCATTATGTAGTACAATAAATTTCCCATTTACAAAAGGGACTTTCATGTCGTGCCATGTTATAACTTGAGAACCAATGGACTAATTTTGATCAAATCTTATATTGGAGGACCTCACTCATTCGTCCTGCTAACCTTATGCTATTTGTAAGTGTTACTAGGTTAGAATTTGTGGGTAAAATGTGTATAGGGAACAACAGAGCAAGCACCAGAATTGTTATGCTATGTATGTATACATTTCCTAATCTGATAAAATTTTATGGCCCAAAATTAAATTATGAGACTGTTAGAGATTTTGATTTTGTCTCTCATGGAGAATTAGCAAAATGGTATAATGATTAATAGCAAAAATAATCACAGCAGCAGCAGCAGTAATAATGGAAATATTAATAAGTAATAATATTAACAAAATAAAAGGCAAGCATGTACACATACAAATGGAATACAGGTAGATCAGAATCTTTTGTAAAATATCCCACAGCACACAATTTAAATTGTATGAAATACTATTAATCCAATGGTAAAATACAGCAGTGAGTGTGGGCACTGAGTGCTAGAAAATCTATGACCTAACAAAAATATCACCCTTTCCAACATCTTTAAAAGACAAACCTGTAAGAACCTTTTATAAAATATGGAATAAATTCTGTCCAAATCTTTTAAAACTTTGTAACCTGAAGTTGAAACATGAAAACTTAAAGAACCAAAGTGTTGCTGCTTACCTGCAGGAATTAAGTAAAGCAGTATTAACCATCAAAGCATGTTCAGTATGTACATACGTGTATACACACACACACATTGGCCTGGGCCCACCCAGTCTCTTATCTAATGAGTACTGAGGTCATATTACTGTTTAAATGACCGTAACTAATAACATAATCATACCTAATTCTAACCACATACCTGGAGATTTAAAGCAACTGCCTTCATCAAAACATTTCACGGGACAGTTAACATAATTGTCATTGAAAAGCCCTCTCCAAATACATACTTCTTTTGCATCTGGACCACAACTCTCGTAAATGTTATAACTTCCCGAACATGCTGAAAATAAATGCAGTTTACAACTCAAAATACATAAAACTTTAATCTACAGAGAAAAGAACTTCATGTCTCTTTAAACCACTGAAATCTCTTAAAATTTGTTTTTACACTTCCTGAATTCAGTTTCCAGCAATCCACTGCAAAATGTAAGAATAGTAACTTCTTGTGACTACTATACGCAAGAGACACGTAAATACTTGTGGCACAGGCAGTCTGGTAGGCAAGTGATGTTAAGTGATGTTTTGCACTGTGTAACCCCTATATTCCTGAGTGGAGAATGTAGTACAAATATATTTCTCACACATCTTTGTTGCTTTCCACTATCAATAGTATCATTATTCATTTATTTATTTTGCCATTTCTGATTATTTTACAACTTCCAGTGTTATACACAATAGCCAACAAAATTAATACAAAATAAGAATAAGCATAACATTTTTCAGTCTGCTAGGAGACATACGTCACAGGGATTCTCGCGTACAGTATACCTGATTAAAGTTCTTATAACAGTTCATATATTTATGTTTATGACCATTTTGTCAAACTTATGAACAACCAAATGTCACAACTTTGGGAATGTCTGTATAGATTACAATTTGGAGTACAATTTTTTTTGAATTGATAGTCACTCACCTACTCAAAAAAATTCCTACCTTTCATGAAACCCAGTGGCTCATTACCACATTGAAAACAGCCTGCCACCAGTCCATACCCTGAAACACACAAATCCAGTCCACACCTCCCACCCTATTTCCATAAAATGCATTTTAATATTATCCTCCTATCTATGCTTCACAGTGGTCATTTCCCTGCAGGCCTGAAACCAAATTCTGTACATATTTCTCATCTCACTACTTTAACATCATCACAAAAATACTTTGTAATCAATTCTGATATGCAATAATCCCACATCCACATACATATTGCACACTTGTATTTGAAAAGTACCTTTATAAGATGTGTAAACTATCTCAAGATCCAGCTTTTCATTGGAATTCAACTTTATGCTGGCAACATATATGGTAGTGTCCAGTTCTCCACCTGGATCAAGAACTGCTCCCACATTACCATCCAGCACTTCTCCATCCTCTTGCATCTGCTTGAAAGAATTGATCTGACCACAGAACTTTCTGCTTCTTGATCCATCTCTCCGTTTAAACTATAAAATAATACAGTGATGTCATATATATGTTATCCTTGATGTCAAAGCTTGGTTTGATTCCTAGCTAAGAGACAAGTTTTCATTCAAAATTAAACACATTTATTGTAATGATGATCTTCTGGGTTTTGGCACTGTGTAGACTCACTGGTAGATATCAACATTTTGGAGAAACACATTGTTTCACAGCCCAGAAAACCATAATCAAAAGCAAACTATTAAGCTTCATCATAAAACTCATCATTTTCCTTTGCAGTGACACTTCATGAATACAAATAAAACCAGAAAGGTAGTCCTAAACATGTTGCCATTCTGAAATCAACAATTCTTAGAGATGTTTATTTACCTGAATGTAATCTACACAACCAGACTCATCATATCTAAGTGACAGATTCTGTATCACAGCAATCACACCATCTTCATTTTCACTTTTAACTTCAAACTGACATCTGTATTCAACAACACCTGCCCAATCATCAAAGGATCTAGTCTCCTTTATGACAACAGCCGATTCCGCTTCTTGTTTTAATTTAATTTTTCGCTTTCTGCCAACTAGGGAACAGATTTTGTCACTAGACAGAGCATCTGAAAACAAACAGAAATTTCTTACTTAACACAGAAAATTATATTCCCCAGTGCTTAACATTTTACCTACTATGTGCAACTCCAAACACATCTTAAAACATTTATATCCAATGAAGTCTTCACTCTTCGGTAGCATATTTTCTAATTACGAACAAGTAATTCTCTATGAACTACATACTCACACTGTTCATATGACAAGCATATATTCAGGAAACAAAGTATAACAGCATTCCGAACGATTCTGGATGGAGACATACTTAATACAACGTCATCCCGATAGCACCATCTGCATGACAACAGATACAACTAACACACAAATCGGCAAACCCAATAGTACAATTTAGCTGAACAAATGATGCAGACAATCACGAATTGTAATACCATCTATCAGCAATTATAAAAAACTACGAAGAAAGGTATCCCGGTTTAACAGTTTATCAGCCAATGCCGTGAGTTCAATCGGTAACAACGTTAACTACACACACACACACACACACACACAACTCAACACCCCCTTCCGCCTTTCGGGGCGAACCATAACTCAGAATAGCAAACTTTACACATCTTATGACGATTGTCTTCTGGGATATTGTGCCATGTAGCCTGGCAGAAACTGACAGACGTGGAAGTGTTTCAAACTGTCTCTACCATCAGGGTGATGAGCTGGCGATGAACCCAGTAAGCATCTACAATATGTCAGTGTACACCAGACTACATGATACAGTATCCCAATAGACAGTCATCTTGATACTCACCAATGTATAAAAACCTTAAATCTCAGTTTTACGAATTTGGTCCATGATACCGCAGAGGAACTTACCAAGCTTTCTAAAATTAATGTATATGAACTATCTTAACAAGTACCCATCAGAAAAAAGTTTCTGCCAAGTTCCTTTAGAAAAAAACAAAACTTCACCTAAAGTACTACTAATAAAAAAAAGTGCCCCGGGTGAGGATCGAACTCACGACCTTAAGATTATGAGACTTACGCGCTGCCTACTGCGCTACCGAGGCCAGTATAATATAATATAATTAATTCCTTTATAAAGAAGTTCACATACCCATCAGTTCATGCAAGGGAGTTATGCATCATAAATATTCTCTTTTGATTTTACAACTTACTTTTGTTTGAATATTACAAAGTTTGGACTTGCTAATCGGTACGTTACGAGCTCGTACTGGTTTTTGTTCAACGGTATGAGCTTCGTAAGTATACTCCTGCCCTCTTATTCAATTCTCCTTACTATTCTAAATATGTTTCGCCTTCGATAGCTCAGCCAGAACACCGACCTTGATAGATCAATCGGCATTAAAGTGCTATAATGTATGTATCCATACCTTTAGTACACCTTATGACAGAAGTAGCCTATATTTTCTTTTAAGGTCTTCCGACCAAGATTTTGACCTATTTCCAATTGCATGCTACATATCCTATAACTCATTTTTCTTATTGCAGTTTTCTCTATTAGGACTGTATCTTCTCCTCAGCACCCAGTCCTATAATAAAACTTTGGGATGAGAGACCAGGTTTCACAACCACATAAAGCGAAACGTATAGACAACCGCGTTTGTGCAATGTGATTTTGTGTTATCTCACTGAAAGATAAGACATGGTTGTGAGAAATCTGTTTCACAAAGAATTTAAAGGATGACCAAAAAAATGCGTAACTTACGTCAACTTTGGGAACTATTACAATGAGAACATTAAGTTTAAAACAAAGGAGTGACACGAATTCTAGAAACGGCAGAATGATGCGATCATATCTAAAGAATATCGATTAGTAGGACAGGAAAGCAAGAGACCTATAAAATGGTTACCGTTAATTGACTTATGGTTCACCATGTTGTCTTGAAATGTTTTATCATGTCTTTTCTTGTCACTTCACTGGATAGTCTATGACTGTTACTCGCGCAAAATAAAATGGCGTGTTCGACACGTTGTTTGAAGTTCGTTGTCTTTACATTTATTGTCGTATTCGCGGTAAGTAACGGTTTAAGTTTTACTTCCACTTAAGAGTAAATTGCTTCGTGTATGAATCTATAATGCGGCTTGAGTTTGCTATAAGAGTTTAAGAAAAGTGTCGTGTAAGCAACATTAGCAGTAAACAAATGAAGACTTAAAATGAATGTGAGAGTTTTGTATGCTGGTTTGTATGTTGTATTGCACAGTGGTCTCTAGTAGAAGACGTCAAATAATAAGTTAACAATGTGATTCTTTACACTGCTGTGGTAACTTTGTAAAAAAATGTAAACACAACTGTAAGGGTTTTCCATGAGCCTGTATTTTTATACGTTTGAAAGTTTTACATGAAGATTACTTTGTACGTGTGCGTTTTTCGTGACTAGGAAAGGTTGGCACTCAGAGAGCAGTAATATTTTGGTCAAAGATTTCATGAAAAATGTTCACAAACAAAATATACATATATATACAAAGTGCTTGCTTGGCAAACACGCTACTAGAAATTTCACGTTGTTCTTGTGTCTTTGGAGAAACGAATTCAAAATTCTCTCCGGTTAGCGCAGCAAATCCGCCCTGGAAAACACTACATTGTTACGAAACCTCGAATTACGCCTCGGTATTCGGATCGGAACAACGGAAGCCTCCGGGAACCGGGATGATTGGAGTCACAAAATCGAGGAGGCCAAGGCTTGATTTGGGCTGTAGCGCCACTGGGAAGAGAGGGGGGGGGGAGAGAAGCAATTACTATTTGTTACAATTTAATTAACAGGTGTCAGGAGTGGCGGTGATGATCATCAGTGTTGCCAACTTAGTGCACTTCTACTCACACAACGACTTCGTACCCAGTAATGTCTCTGTCCCAGTACTGCTGATCGCTTTAACAGGGTTGGGGTCTTGTCTTGTGGCAGCACTGGGCTGGCGTGGAACCATGGCAGGGAACACCTGCCACCTATACATGGTACGTGAACTAATATAATAAAAAACCACTCCTCGTGAAGTATTTACCCAATTCCCTATTCGACCAACAGCAGGATGGCAATGCAACAACACTGGGAAGTCACGGGTTCGAATATCGGCCCGGAGACCGATTGTCCTCAACGAGTTATTCATGGTTTGCCGTAGTCCCTTCAAGAAAATTGCAGACAAACTGGGCCATAACCGTTGCCTTTCAGATCCTTGCTATTTCATTTCCAGTCATTGTACCATTTGAAGTCACATATACGACACAGTTCGATAATGTCGTTACAATCCCAACATCGAGTTCTTTCATTGTTTTATAGAGAAAGGAATTATTTTAACCGAGAAAAAAGAGCTGTTTTTGCATCCTCCCATCTGTTCCTGGGTCTTCCAACTGGTCGTTTTCCTCCAACACCATCTTTGGAATTCGGGTGTCGTCCATCCGAATCAGGTGTAGTCTCTTAATTTTTATAAATTATGACAATGGCATGTCTTTATATAATTTATAGATTTCCCGATTAGTTTTTATCTTCCATTCATCTGCTTCTTGTGTCGGGCCGAAAATTTTCCTCGGGATTTTCCGTTCAAGCAGATCGACTTTATCTGCTGCATTCTGGTCGAGTGCCCATGTTTCACTCCCGTACGATATTACGCTACGGATGAGAGTTTTATATAAAGTGATTTTTACTTTCTTATTTATTCCATGGAATTTTATCGGTGGTAATTATTGGCCGCTTGAATTCTGCTTTGTATTTCTACCATCTCCACATTCTTATTTGTTACGCGTACTCCCAGGTATGTGAATATTTGCGCCATTTCTATTTCATGTTCCTTGATCTTTATAAGATGGTCTAATGATCTCCTTCTTGTTTGTATTAAGGCTTTTGTTTTCTTTCCCTCTCTCGCCTGGCATTTCAACTACTTCTTTGACTGATCTTCCCAAAATATTTACGTCATCCGCATACCCTTCTATTTGCACCATTTTATATTCCAAAGTGCGTTTGGTGTCTACTGTTAGTTTTCTAATGACATGCTCATGGGCAAGATTAAAAAGAATTGGTGCTAAACCGTCTCCTTGCTTGAGGCCTTGATTTTGTATTAAAACTTGATTTTGTATCTTCACACGTGCTTTAGTGTCTTCCATCGTCATATTCGTAAGTCTTATTAGTTTTCAAGGCATCTTGAATTGGTGCAAGGCTGATTCTAGTTCTGTCTATGGAATCTTATGCTTGTTGGAAGTCTACAAATATTTATGTTACCTTCCCAACATTTTTCTAGTATTTGTTTAACAGTATATATTTGATCAATGGTAGACCTGCCTCTCCTAAATCCGGCGTGATATTCTCCGATATTTCCTTCGACATATGGCCGTGGCCTATCTTTCAGTATGTTTGTAAATTGTACTGTCCCGAGTATGACCTTTGCTGTTTCTTCAACACTCTCTATTCTACCGCCAGCATAGCTCTTGGGGTCACTGAGGTACTCAAGCCCCACCACCACGACAAGGTTCAGGTACCATTAAGTGGGGCCCATGTACATTTCAATTCAATTAAATTAATTTATTTACGTGTTTGCCAACAGCAAGAAGCCAGTAACAGGCAAACACTGATAATACATACAATAATAATGAAATGATAATGAAAAATAGTACACAAACAAATTAACTAAACTTATACATGTACAGTATTAAATGTAACTTCCAAGTACAGGAAAACCCAAAATAGAAACAATATTAACACAAAGCAAAATAAATGAAGAAATATGAATAAAAACAAATAATCCACCTAGGGAACACTAATATAATTGTAAAACGTTAAAGAAATATAAAAACAGATAACGAAGCTAGATCATCTACAAGACAATCTCTCTAGATCATTTCCCTTCTTGAGAACGTGCGCTCAAGGAAGACAATGTTTATGCTAAATACGTCCAGAGATTTACATACGTCATTTCTGTTGTGTTTATAACAGTTATGCTAGTTTCATTTACACATGTCGATGGTAACTCACCCTTCTTCATGTAACCTGTTTTAATTTTTCTCCTACTTCTATTTTATTGCGAGTAATCTAGTTGCAGTTACTGCTTCAAAATAATTATTCCTCTGTGTGACAAGTTTCGTTTGTTTCCATATTTATGTGATATTATACGATATTTTCATGGCTGAATTTTAACAAAGCGGTCTGAGATTAATTTCTCCTTTTGTTCCCAGTTTTCATTTCTTCTGATTACTGTGATCATGATTGAATTTGGAAGTGCTATATGGGGTTTGACGTCTCGGGCCAACTTCGAAGACGAAATGACCAAAGCCATGGAGGAATCATTTTCTTCCTACGCAAAGGATAAAGCTGTCGCTGACGAATGGAAGTCCTTACAAAAGGCGGTAACAATTCAAATAATAACATATTGTTAACTATATTTCGCATGGAGTCAGTACAAATGTACAGGTTGTCCCAAAATGTATCTACAAAGTTTATTGTTTTGTTACGCCTGAACGATGAAACGTAAAAATCTCATTCAAATCAGCATCTCAAGCAATTTATATTACGATATGTTCGTTGAGTTTGCCCTAAACTTCGACGATGTTTCGCGATCAAATCGCAAAGTTTCACAACACATTTCATATCCTGCCTTGCGATATTTCTTGTCGAGGTGTCGATGACCGTTGTGTGATTGTTGCAGCTGGAGTGTTGCGGCATTGATGGGCCTAATGATTACCGTCGCTTCGGGGTGGTGGATTGGTCGTGCTGTCTCTCCGAGACACAACGCGAGGGCTCATGTCATGTGATGAAACAGCAAGGATGCCTTGTGTCCTTAACCCGCGACTTTCAGAAGAGACTCCTTTGGGTGTCTCTGCTATCCATTGCGGCAGCCGTCATGCAGGTAAATACATTGTAACTAACTAATTCCACGAAGGAAATCCTTTCTTGAAATCTTCCGCCTTCTAAGGAATTCGAAAGATCACAAGAAGACCGCCACCGCACTGGTTCTTATCCTAATCTAGATGAAAGCAGTCCACTCCTTCCCAGAATATTTCCTAACATTCAATTTAACATCTTTCAGTAAATATATAACGTAAATTACACCCTGTGTCCAAGCACCACCTTCTTCGTATTCTGAAAGTCCCAGTTTCAATTGCCAAGGCTGAGACTTCCTATCACTCGTGAAGTTCTCGTGATTTTATTCATTCTCTCCACGCAAATTACGGGCAATGTCTAAAAGTATACCATGGTCGCCTCCATATTCACAATTAATCGTCTACAATATCCTTATCATTAGTTTAAAAGTGTCAATGAAAAGAATAAATTCCCGACGGGGGCAGAGGATTTTTCCTCTAGCGCCCTATCCAATGGTCACCGGGGTCCTTTCCCGGGGCGTGGCCGGGGCGTGAGGCTGACGACTCATCTCCATCTAGTGCCGAGGTTAAGAAAGAGTATGAGCTATACTACCTCTCCCCTCAAGCGCCTACATGGCGTGTAGTGGGACAGCTTTACTTTCAACATCATCATTCCTTGAAGTTACGCAAAAGGAGAAAAGGCCAGGAATCGTCAAACCCTAGAGCTCCGGAACTCAATCAGTCGTTTAGTAACCGAGCTGTTTGTTTCATCTAACGATACATCAGTCTTATCACAATCTTTTGTGTTCGTGCCTGTGTCTCTGAGTTTCCCGTCTTAATTACTTTCGAATCATTTGTGTTTACATAATAAACAGTTCTTCGGCGCGTCCTGGCCTAGCTGACAGAGAACTCCAGATAATCTCTGTCGCTTCAAATGTGTTAAAACCGTGCAGGACTCCCGTTGAAATCCAACGGGGAATTACATTTTAATCCCTCATCCTCTGTCTCCCTTTCCCTTATCTCTTTGGTGTCCTTACCTCCTTCCATCCAAATGTCTTGAAACAGAAATGGATCTTAACCAAAATTCATAATTTAAATACATTACACAAAAACGTGCAATGTATTAAAAAGAACAGTGTATTCCGTAATATAATCTAAAGCAATTTATTGGTGAAAAGTATCTATCAAAAGAGGTCAATTTTGTATTGACGGTGCTCAAATGTTGTTTACGTGTGCCTGGTGGTTAAACTCGTAGACTGCGAACTGGTCGATTCTTAAATAATTCATTAAAGCTTATTCAACTGCATCGATAAAATGGGAAAAATTACAAGTGGTAAAGTAAAGGATTGGAAGAAGGATGTGGTCTCTTATTCAAAAACTACCTTTAATTACGTAAAGAGTGACGAAAAGATATAATAATTTGGCTGATATTTGAATTGGCCATGTCCAGAACAGAAGATTTACAGCAACTTCAAATCGATCTAAGCACTGTACGGAACTATAATATAAATATAAATTTATTAATTTATTATTTAATAAATTTGTTACAGATGCCTGGCGTGTTCTGCACATGTTGTTTATCAAATTCACTCAGAAACGTACAGCGAAGAAACAGAATTCGAGATAGGATGTTGCTAGAGGTGAAGAGTTGAGAAGATGCTCTACATTAGTGGGGATTTCGGTGGATTACTGAACTTTTAAGAATGTTTAAATTGAATCTTAACATGGTACAGTAAATATCAGTGTGCTCTGAAGGGATGGGGCGACTATGTCCACTTGAGGGGGGGGAGATGAGTTATTTACATTTTTTTATCGTATTCTGGGTTTTGACGGCACGTGGACTTGTGAGTACCAATGCTTCGCAGGAACATACTGCCTCCAACTTCATAGTTGAAATCTTGGAGCTATTTAAAAGTGACAGAACCGGAGAGTCTGAAGATTAAAAAAGTGTGATATTAAAATGTCACATAGCATTCATTGAACACATGATAAGACAGGATAACACCGAGGTGGACCTCTTGCAGATGTACAGGGTTATTCATAATTCCCTGACACATTACAAAAAGTCGCATCCTTTGGACCATTCATGTCTGCCGATTTTTTGTAATGTGTCAGGGAATTATGAATAACCCTGTATTGCACCGATCACAGATGGAGCCGGCTAACGATGTATTTTATCTGTTCGGTTATGATACGTCTGAGAGTACGAAGTACCACTGAGCCATGAAAGTAAGACAGAAGACTTTTCACTTTTCATTTTTCAAAGTGTTAGCCGGGCTAACATGGTTAACACGAAAGCTCCTCCAGCTGCCTATGCAATTATATAGTTAAATAGACCCAAAATCTACAAATCTTAAGATATTTAAAAAAAAAATTATATAACTGCAATATTTGTATGTAACTGGCCTATTTAAAGTAAAATAAATTTTATATTTAAATATTCAAATTAGAAGTTTATATAACCTATCAGATACATGTGTATATTTTTAAGTCTTTTCCATAAACGTTTACTTAATTTTACATCTGCAAACCTGCTTAATTTTTCAGAGAAATAAAATAGACGCAGGTTGTCTCTTATTGTGCACACCGTAATGCTTTGGTCAACATATGACTATAAATAAGATGTTGTCACTGTCTGTTATCATTTCTAGCATAAAGCAGTCTTTTATGTAACCGGAATAATGCCATCTCTGTTAACTTTGAATAAACAGATACTCGCATGGGGGAATAAATCTAAAATAAACACCTGGAAACGCGACTGCACAACAAATGTTGCGGTTGTAACAACGCAAGGTCTTGCTAATATTTCTCTAGGCCAGCTGTCAGTATCGATTTCTTATAGAATGTCTCTCAAGGTGACACGCTATTTCAAGCAGTTTCTCCAACGTGTTTCGTGTATTTCAGTAGAACATTTAACAAGGCTAGAACGGTGTAATCAGTGCGCATGCCTAAGCGTAGAATCAGATTGCAAGTAATGTTCAAGCATACGCAAATCTCTTCAGCATACGATTTATTCATTGACTGCTACTCATTTGTCCTCTCAAGTAACAAAATAAGTGAGGGAAATGCAATCTACTTTCTCTGCTTTCCCCAATTCTCACCAAAATCCATGAACATACGAGGTGCGATCGGAAAGTTTAAAGACTGCGCCTATAAAAACCCGTACACTTATCTCAGGTATTAAATTCATCCATCACCCTCGAAGTAGTTCCCCTGGGAGTGAACACAACAATCCCAGCGCCGCTGCCAAGCCTGGAAGCATCCCTGGAAATCTTTCTTTGTCAGCCTGTCAAGCACCATCTGCGATTCTGCCTGAATCTCTTCTATCGTCTCAAATCTCCTTCCCTTTAGCTGAATTTTCATCTTTGGGAAGATGAAGAAGTCACACGGAGCTTAGAAAGGAAGTTGGGGTCGGTTCTTGCAAGATCTTTGAGTTCCTGACAAACGAGAAGTCGATTCTGCTTCTGGTCCTCAGACAGGATGCGTCGCCTGTGGAGTTCTTCCTTTAGAATCAGCTGACAGGTCCCATAGCCTATCCCAGCAATGTCGCACAAGTCGTTGATGGTACGACGTCGATCTTCGTAACATTTTCGGGCGTTGTGCTCGAAGATGGTCGTCCAGAACGCTCGTCATCATCGACAGAGGTTCGGCCATTTTTAAAACGTGAATGCCACACAAAAGTTTGTGCACGACCCATTGCGGACTCCCCAAATGCTTGCTTTAGCATTTCATAGGTTTCCGTAGCCGTTTTGGCGAGTCTTTGGCAAAATTTGATTTCTTCATGAAAATCCGTCATTCCGAAATCGCAGGAGGGTCGGTGTAATGCACTACCAAAACGCCCGTAACTAAGAAAGAAATGCTAATTCGATGATGCCGGCTGGCACACTGATTCACTATGAATGTAGGCCGCACCCCCTAGCGGCAGAAGCTCGTACTACATCCGGTTCGCCCTCTATTGACACAGTCTGGAAACTTTCCGATCGCACCTCGTACGTTTTAAATGTTTCTTTCTTTCTTTCATGTTCGATTAATTGCCAACCGGAAGCTGAATGTTGAGAGAGCAGCGTAAATCCAGAGGGAATTTATTTCGTATTTCAAACTGATCAATGTTTGCAATGTACAAATAAAATATAATAACTTTCAAGTATATGTCATTTATCCACACACATTAACCTAACCTAACCTATTTTTAAAGCGATGTGTCCCGATAACCCACAAGTACCGTAATTTATTCCGATAAAATCACGAAACTTGGAGCAAACACGTAGAAAAATATGAAATGACTCCCCTCTGTACTTATTTTATAAAAACTTTTCGACTACTTGGCTTTATTTTTGACAATGCTTCTTCCAACAAATGAACATAAGAATCAGTGCAACAAAATTCCAAAAAGTCGAAATTAAAAGGGGGAAATCTTTTACAGTTGCACCATACATGCCCAGACCGATCACTTTCCGTCTTGACCTCCCCACTGCCCCTTTTCCACTCTTTCAGTGACGCAGCTGAAGCTCGAAGTTATTCTGCGCCCACTGTAATGATGCTACACTGCAAGGAGACACAATGTTTTCCTCTGTATTTAAATAAATCATACTTTAGATAAAATATTATTTTTGTGCGATACGAAAATGTTGCTGGTAACACAAATACAGTGTTTCCGTTTGCGTCCTGCGAACGGCATACAATAGAAACAAACGAATATTTTTGTAACGGATTTTCGACACCAGATGGTAGAAGAATTTGAAACTGATATAAAAGATCAAACAGAGCAGTGATAACCACACGCGTTACCATGGGTGGCAGGAAGGGCGTCTTCTAAAATAATATTTGGAATTCTTGCGAAGTTGCTTTATCGCAACGCCACGTAATTAATAGGCGTGGAGAAGTGAAGTATAGATCCAATAAGTCTTTACTTCGGCAAAAAGGTGAGTGGTGAGTTTCATGCTCCGGTCACTTTAACTCCGGAGAAAGAAGACCAGAACCCATTGAATGTGAATTTGCGTGGACCCCAAAACCTGTCTGGATGAGGTGGCGAGGAGGAAAAAAGTAGCCGCTGCCGAGAATCGAACCCCGGCTGTCCAGCTCGTCGCCTTGTCATTACGTTGATTTAAAAAAAAGACACTTTTGTAAGCGGTATGGAATTCTGTCGCCGGCAGCTAGTTTACGTCCTTTTCGGACAAAGAACCAGCTACTTTAGTCACTTATGGGAATGGGTCACTAGTTGGATGACTGGGGTAGGTTCCCCGGCTCAGCCAGATTCATCTCCATGTCCAATAACGCCTCAATCTTGAGTCGATGTTAAGAATGTGTGGAGCCTTATTTTAATTTTCGGACTAGACGCTTCTACGCGGACTGCAAGTTCGCGGCGACCACGAGGAATGACCTCAAATGATTTACACAGTCTCAGTTGTTTTATAGTGACTGGTACAGAAATAGAAGCTCTTTTTTTTTAAAAAAAAGCTCCACAGATTTTTGAGTCAAGTTCATGCAAATTTTTGTAGAACATACAAAATACAAAATGACGTATTCGGTTTGGTTGATTTGCTCAAAAAAAAAATTCAGTCTTGGGTTTTTAAAACAGGTATTTTATAAAACTCGTCTTAATTCGGAAACGTACTTTCTTCGATATTTTTCTCGAACCCGTCTTTTCCATTGTTCGATGCTGGTCGGACGGTATTTTGTAATACGAGAGGTCACATATGTCAGTCCCTTGTTGCAGTAACTTCTAGGACTGAAATTCAACAATACGAAGCCATGCAAATCCATTCGTGTTAATCACTGGACCTGAATTCGATCATATTGCCTCTGAGACACAGGTATATAAATAAACATACTGAAATCTGTGTGCGTCATCTGTGAATGATACATCGTCACACGAATAATCACATACGCGTTATCAGACGACATCAAGAGCCGGTCGTTGCGCAAGATGGCCGACATGGAAAGCCAGCGTCATATATGAGTCAGCCGAGCTGTTGAATGCGTTAGTCTACGTGTGACAGCGGTTGTAGTTACGTTAGTGGTGTTCATAAGTGCTCAACTCTGCGCCTTATCATGGGATGTGGAATTACGACAGTTAAATACCTTCTGTTCATATTCAACTTGATATTTGCGGTAAGTTAATTGTTGTGACAATTTATTTATTATCTGTAAGGTTTGAGTTCAGCGCTGCAGTCGACAGCTGCTGTGTGATGTGAGAAAATGGGTGTGTTAGAAGAGACTGTTGGAATACGCGTCTAGATATATAATTGTTTGCTTATATCAGGGGTTCCAAAACTTTGGATAGAGGGATTTTGTTGGGTCGCGTTGAAAAAATCAAAACAGAATTTTTATCAAGTAAATCTTGCCTACGAATATTTAATTCATTTTTTTATGAAATTAATAAATTATAATATTCGTTATTCACAAAAAATGTTATAATTTGCCCCCTAACTAACGAACTATGGGTCATCAGGCGGAGTTTTTAAATGCTTGTGGGTCACGAACAAAAAGTTTCGTACTGCATTCGTGAAAGCAAAGAATGTTAATTGCTAAGCGATTGTTTTGGCCAAGTCCGTGTGCAAACATGCGAACATACAAAGATAACAGAGCCAAAGAAGATAAGATAGAAGACTGGTTGTGCGAACAACACCTATTTCTTTAAATTTTCGTATGTCTATACAGAAAAGTCACGTAGAAGGAATTATGAAATTAGTGCACCCTGAAATACTTCCGTCTTAATTCCCGACAATATTACCCGTGTAGGATTTCCGGTTTTCACGGCGGTGAGTCGGAAGATGGCTGTTTTCCGGGTTGTTGCGCCATGTAGTCTGGTAGAAGTTTACCGACGTTTCAGAGGTCCTTGCTGGAAATTTACCGACGTTTCAGAGGTCCTTGCCGATCGCCCTGATGATGGAAGCATGTAATCCCATAAGGAGACCACAACGCCTTCAGACATTTTCAATTCGTTTATAAATCATAATGTCATTCGCCGATAACCTTACCAACTGAAAATACGTCGTTAAAAAGCCAAAAATGAATCCGTCAAAAGTTATAAATTGAAGATGATACAAATTCTTGTGGGAACAGTGCGGGTCGATACTCTGAAGCTACCCACACACTTAAATGCTTCGTTTTAAATTATAGATAAACTGTTACGTAATGTGCTTCCATGATAGTTAGTATCAGGTCTTATTCTGGTAATGGATAATGCATTAATCTTTTCTCTTTGTTACTGCCTGCGGTCTTCACCCAGTTTCTGAACACGTAGTTGTGACAAACTTCTGTTGATCCATAATCACGCGAGCTAGGCTGTCCATATTCCAAAAGCAGACCGATACTTTCGCAGGAGAAGGGATGTTTCATAACTCTATTGACGCTTTCACTAAAGAAATGCCAACTCAAAGGTACAATGCGTTTTTTCAGAATAATACGTTTATGGCGGAATTCCTGCTAATGCCGCGGAAGGCGCTGGCATTCATGCCTGGTCGAGATTAGTCACAGTAAAGAAATGTACACATGACGTCACTGTCTTCGGCCATTGTGTTGTGATGTAAGGTGTCTCAGCAGTAGTGTTACGCATTGGCACCGGATTTCCATTATCTCATTCATTATCTCCGTATGACTAAGACAGCAAACAACGTCTTAAAGACAGACATTATTTCGTAGATGCAAAAATACGCAACTGCTTAAGAATTTTTGACGGTTAAGTACTTTCCGGGACTGACCAAGGAATGCGCGAACTTTGTGACGTGCGTGGTAGTAAATAGGAAGAGGTATATCTACTATTGAGAATGATAACATTAACCAAGTTTTCCTTTGCCTGTTCATTTCCTTTGGAATTCGTCGTAATTCACCAAGGGCAGATCCTATCTGTGTCAGAAAACAGTCGCTGGCTTCGCAACGCGGAGGAGTGCCAAATGTTTTCAGAGCGGATAATAACTGCATATACGGCCTGCTGATTGGTTGTCACCTTTCCTTGTTACAACAGTCTCCGAACCCCGAACTGCGGAACTGAGGATCTCGTACTGTAGGTGATTTTAGGGCTTTTTTTCAACGTTTATTTGCACTGTAATGAGAGGCCCAATCAATGGAATGGAAATGTGTTTTCAGTGGAGTTCGTATGTTTTCCAAAAGGTTTCTTTGTGAGGTTACATGCCTTATCAGCACTGCATTTTATGTGTATTAATCCAACTAAAATCTGTTAATAAAATCTCGGATTAGTTACTTAATTTTTAGACGACTAGCTTCCTTTTTTTAAAAAAGAAAATTAGTGCTTGTATATTTAATCTAAACTTCATGTAAAGTGGGCCTACGGATTGTATTAGGTCGACACAAACCAAAATTAAATTCGCCGTCCAGCTTTCAGTGTAGATTCTCCAATGTATTAGTCGTTAAAACTCCACCGAGGAGAACGCTTCTTGAGAAGCTACTAGTGCCTGAACTTGTCAGATTCATAGCCTTTTACAGAACCCAAAGGTTCATTATCCTGTGTACAAGAAATTGCTGCTAGGTCCTCTTCAATGAGCCAAATTAGTTCGTCCATATCCTTACAACGTATGCTCAATACCAATTTTAATATTGGCCTTTCATCTACGCCTCGGTCTGCGAAGTGGTCTCTTACTCTCAGGTTTTCTTATAAAAATCCCAAATACCAAATTCCATCCAAATCCTATCAGTAATTACATAGATGAACCGTGGGAATGCCATGATCTCCTATACGAGACGGTTCAAATCTGACCCGGAATTTGGTTAACTGCAAACCCGTTCCAAAAAGTCTGTTCAGTAGAGATTGAAAAGTATGTCGGGGGAGAGTACCCCGAGAAAACTGCCTAATTATGAAACAAGTAAGACCATTTAATGACATGATATAACGCAAATTTCAACCGTCGTAGCATTAATGTCTAGCGGTTAGAATGCTGGCCTTGTAATCCTGGGGTCTCGGGTTCGATTCCCGGCGGTGCCCGAATTTATAACTTGTGTTGGGCAAGGCCATGGAGTTTTCCTCCGGGGGCTTCCCCGGTTTCTCCGTGGCATCCCAACAATTACTCCATTCACACACAGAAGAAGGCAATGGCAAACCACTTCTGGATCATCTGCCAAGAACGTATATGAACAGGTCCCAGTCCGAGAAAAGGAGGGAAGGATCCTGTTCATATGGACCTGTCGTCAGACGGAACACTAATAATAATAATAATATAATAATAATAAATCAGTTGTATTACTAACAAGAGGACTTTCAAATTACTTTGCATCACGAAATAGCTCCTGGCCTCAATTCTGAACGTGCCTTGTGTTCATTACATTACGTGCAACCAGTTTCTCAAGGTTTGCGAGGTCAACTCTGAAGCCAGCCGACCTCTGAATGTTTTAATGGTTCATGCAACGGCATTTTAGACTGTGTCGCGTTAGGATTTGGCATCTCGACCTTGGACCTTCCATGTCCAAGAATAAACTAAATCAAGGGTGTCCAACGTGGCCTGCAAAGCCATGTCGGTTCTTTACTTTTTACAAGGGACAGTTAACATGTTCTTTGCCATGAACGAGGTACTTCGTTTTGAAACTTCATGTTACTCTTTTTTTTACGTATATCACCAGTGAAATGAAACCCATCCTCTTACATTTCAAGCTAGCATTCCACAAAGTGAAACACCACATCGAGTAATGTTTTTTCAATTAAAAATTTCTGAAATATTTAAACAAAAACGTTATTGCTCTCAAATTGTTTCCTTTCGTGTTTTTTTTAATTAACGCTTATTGGTGGCCACTTTCGTTCTCATCTTCAAAACTTTTCTACGGATTTGGAATAAATTTGGTACCGTAAGTTTACCTAGGTTAGAAGTCAAAAGGTGAATACATTGTTTGCAAAATTTCTCCGTATAATTATTATTTTAAATCGAAGTACAGTCTTATCGGAATCAATTACTTTAATTTTGTTGACACTGCTGAAAAATCTGTTGAAGTCAAGTGTTTAATCGCAGGGGAAAAAGACATCTCCGTGTGTTTGTAGTCTCTTAAGCCCCAAGCGAAAACTATGAGCCATGAAATGTTTTTCATATGAGCCCTACATATATTCCCCATTTTATAATTCACAGATTGTCCGAATTGTTCCTTTTATTCGGGTCTATGTTAGTCATGTGGCTTCCTTCTTACTAAAGATAATAAATATTAAATTTCGCTTGTGTATAAAGATCACACGTCAGTGGCTGAAGAAACATTACGATACCTTATATTTGCTAAGTACCTTTTTCGTAAAACTTGAAGTTCATTTGTGTTATCAGCAATACAGATTCCACGTTTTCATGGTTTTGCGTAAATGTGAATGTCTCAACGCCAGAATTAGAAAGATATTAAGATTAAAAGACATTTATTCATTAATTATTGAAGACAAAAATTAAAATAAAATAGTACACCTAACCGTAATGTCTGACATCGTGAAAAAACGCACAGAGCCAACATAATTCCGTTTTATACTTAGTACAGTCTTAAAAAAAAGACAATAGATTTCTTACAGCAATCTTCGTTACAAATTAAGATTTAAAATGTGACGAGAATGCAAATAATGCAGATAGGTCAGTGTCGTTAAATTTTATGTAAAGGGAACGTGGAAATTAAGTTCCAGCAATCTTAAAGAACATTGCTAAAGTGCCAGTTAATGAGTACCATTTCTTTGGCATTAATTTTGGACAGCCAAAGATATGCATGTCTCCTACAAAAGACAAAATCAGACTTTCTGCCCCCATAAGAATAAGAGCTGTCATCTACTTAAGAAACTTTGCATTAATTTTTCGAATTCTAAATGGGCGTTAAAACTTAAGAACTCTCTAGGACTCATTTCTCTGGCACTTGCGTCTACAAGTGATCTCATTTTCTCGGTCGTGACACGAGCTGAAATTAGCCTCATTCTCTCGGAACGTGTCAGATGTTCCAAGGAACGTTCGGATGAATTCGAATCGGCAATTTCCTGTCGAGAGACGACCGAACATCAGACTGCCAATCCAAAAACGTTCAGCTAATGAAGGGTAGGAAGAAGAATTAGTGTAGGAGATGCGTGGAAGTTGTTCAAGGATTCGAATATTGCGTGGTAGTAAAGAATGTCACAGGGCCACATCCACAAGTAAGAAATTGTTTTCCTCAAATTACGTTACGTTAGGAAATCCCGAATTGAAGAAAATGTAGTGTTGAAGATGGCTGTCTTCCGTCTGATAGAAGTTTACCGACGTTTCAGAGGTCCTTGCAGTCTCCATCGGCAGGGCAGTGAGTCTTCTGGTGAAAAATTTAGATAATCTAACGCAGCGGTCTTCAAACTTGTCATGCCATTGCCTTGACTTCTGTTTGGATCGAGCATAATAACAGAGGCAGACTTCACTGGTGAACACCTACTACATTCCAGATGCGTGATTTTGACGTGATGTTGCATTTATTTCGGATAGAAATGTATTAACCGCCACGGTGGTCTAGCGGTTAGAACGCTGGCCTTGTAATCCTGAGGTCTCGGGTTCGATTCCCGGCGGTGCACGAATTTATAACTTGTATTGGGCAAGGCCGTGGTCTAGGCAACACTAATAATAATAATAATAATAATAATAAAGAAATGTATTATTGCAGATCCACTGTTGAAATGCTAATCACGCAACGGCATGCATTGAAATGATATTCGTTAGATATTTACTGCACCAAAAATTGTCTCAAATAAAACTTGTACATCATGTTTAGATTTGTATTTGATGTTATGAAGGCGTACTAATTTATGAGAAGTTCGATTTATGTACCAATCGTCTCTAAGTCGTTGAAAGTAATAAATTCGATTTCAAGTTCAGTTGAATCGGGTGTTATGCAGAAACATTACAATTTAAAATTAAACCGGTCGAGTAATTTCTGTGACGGAACATGAGGACGGGGATGGACAGACAGATATATATTAATTTCATTTTCTTGGCGCAGAAGACGTAATCAATATTACATTTATAAAACAGATACATTCGCTAAGCTGAAGAGACACACTTTTAATTCTGATTTTTGTACGACTCATCCAGCAGCTGTAATAAAATCCTCTTGGGCGATCATCTTTGTCAATTCGTAGCTGAAGTTCAGTGTCGCAGAAATTTACAGCACCAGGGAATAACGTGAGGGGTGTATCCAGGCCAAGGCGAATGGCCATGACGAGAAACAGGACTAGGCCTTTCACTGTTCTTTGTCTTAGCCAGACAGACATCGGCGCTCTCACGTAGAATAACCACTGGCCTGTCGAAATATATTATCGATGTCCTTAGGGGCAGCCAGTGGCCGATGAAGATGGCGGAGTCAAGCTGAAATCGATCTCAAAACCAACTGTGCCATGTATAAATGCAGACCCCCCCCCCGTCTCATCGGAAATGATTACATGACAAGTCATAAAATGTCAAGAAAATCTGGGTTCTGTTAAATGCGAAGATACTCGACGTGAAATGAGGACATGATTCCCTGGAAAGAATGTGGCGGGAGCCTGTCGTAACCTATTTTAATGCAAATGGCCGGCATTCCGTAGGGAGAACTCGGGGCGAGATTCGAATAGAGACGTAGGAGTACTAGCCATTACACGGACGCGTGCGATAAGAGGTTTGCATGTCTCAGCGTTCCTGGTGCCAGCATGACAGAGTTCCATGATCCTGTGCTCTTACTTTTTGCTAGTCGTCGATGACTGAAAGGCTTAAAGCAGGGATCAATGTGTTTTGAGCGAACCGCGTTTTGAACTTCTGATATTCTCTATGATAAAAAGTTGCCTGATATTGGAAACACATTTCCTTGTGAGAATTACAGTGATTTATATGACGAACATACTGTAATTATCCATTAATGCATTAAGTTAAATTTCACAAACACGTGGGCCCGCATAGAAGTGACAGAAAGGACTGCGTTGTTGCACACAAAGTCCTTGCTTCCTTTCCGGCTAACATCCAGGTGAGAGGAAGGGTCATGTGACCGGAAGGGCGCTCTTCCTTTTTCGTCCACGTATCCGGTTTGTCAATAGAGGACGATCGGTTGTTTTATTGCCAACGGAAACTGTTCGCTGTCGTGTTGGGCTGTCCTTTGAGACCCTGCGAGACGAGGTATTACCAGCTGAGGGATGCTGAAGAACATTAAGCAGCATTTCAGCATAAGGACCAGATAGGAGAAGCAGTTTATACATAGTCCAACCAAGAAAGCACATTTCTTCCTACGCGCACTTTCTAAGTTATGGCAATATCAGCTCAAGTGTTTACCTGCTTTCGTAAACAGGCAAATGCTTTCAAGTTAATGCGTGACGCAACACTTTGAATTAAAACGAATTTTACAACACATCACAAAAGTGTTAAAGTTGTGTTACCTTACCTCATCAGTCTCTGATTCTATATAATTGTATCTCTGATTAATATGTTTTCGCACTGATATTGTAATACGATATCAGTTTCTCAACAAATATCTCATAGTTTCGTAAGTATTACGCGCTTCTATTCTCGTCAGCTGTCAATTACATTACTTTCAGTTATCTCTTTATAAAATGTGTTCACTGCTGATAAAGTTGAACAAAACTGTCAAGTACTCCCGGCAGGAATTACTGTAAAAGAAATTTGATTGAATTGTTGTGGAAGGTTGATTGTCTTGTGTCGGGGTAACAGATAAAGACAACTTGTGAGCTTATGGCGATGAGTCATGCAGTTCCAGCCAGAAGCCCGGGAGTGACAGTTGCGTTAAACTTAAGTGAAATCATTGTGACTTCTATTTGTTATCTTATGTCAGAATAACCATTTTTATCTTTGCATGGAATTTGTATGTAACTCATATAGTTTTCCCGAAAGGTTATTATACTTCATCTTACTGCTTATAAGAACTTATTAGGACTACTGTGAAATATTTATTTAACCCAAAAAATAACGACGTGATAAGGAATCAGTGTGTCATTCTTGTTAAGGTAGCTACAGGATGTTTTCTTTGTTGCAGCTATGTGGTCTGGCCATCCTGATAGCTGGCGCACTGTCTTATGCGAACATCGACAAAATTGACAAACATCTGCAAGATGTGAATATTTCTGGGTCCCCCATAGCTCTGATCGTCGTCGGGTCCATCGTCTTCGTGGTCGCTTTCTATGGCTGCTGCGGTGCCATTAGGGAAAGCCACTGCATGGTTATCACGGTAAGGGACAGTTTTCACACGACGAACTGATTTTGTATTCCGAAGAATAAATTGCTTTTACGCGGAGGACGGATGGAACTATTTCAAAGCGATCGCAGCTCACGGGAGTTTTGTCAGAAAAACACGCTGTCTTCAACTGTTTACAAATGCATGCAAAAATTTAGAGGCAATCTGAATGGAAGACACGTGGAAGGATAATATTAAAACGGATCGTAGAAAATGGGGTGTGAACTGGATTCATCTGGCTAGGGACGAGTCTATTATCGTGGTGTAGTGCACAAGGTAATGAAGCATCGAGTTCCGTAAAAGGTAACTGTTTCTTTCACTAGCTGAGTAACTATTAACTTGTAAAGGAGAATTCGCTCCGTGCAGTTACGGAAATTACATGGAATTATTTAAAGAGCTGGGTTCGTATGTGAGAGAATTCAGCCCGGATGTCCCAGTGGGAAACATCTGAATAGCTCGTTCTGAATTCTCTTGGAATAAACGCCTTGTTTCCAGTTTGCGGTGTTCCTGCTGGTGATCCTGATCGCAGAGATAGCCATTGGAATAGTGGCTTTCGTGAACAGGGACGGTTGGGATAACGCAGTCAATGATAGCCTCTCCAAAATCTTCAGTCAATATGACACGAACGGCACGATCGCTGAAGACATCAACGATTTGCAGAGAACAGTAAGTAATTGTTTCATCCAGAACAAATTCGGACCCATTATCAGTCTGCAAATAGCCAGTGTGGGCTGAAGAATACTAAATGTAGGCATCGAAAATAATTTGGAATGAGATTTATCATCTTGGTATTTGTAGAATCACCCGTAAGGCTCACATTGAAATCATTTAAGTGATAAAACGTTGAGAGATGTTTACGCTTTCCAGATTTCAGTGTTGTGCATTGGTTGATCCCATGAAAGTAAGAACAAAGCATTTACAGCCATTCACGTTCACAAACCACCATAAAGACTAAAACAGAATGTAATAATATTGTAATAAAACGTGAATATAACTTTGACAGTCTAATTATTAATAAAAATCATGCGTTTTTGGGCCATTTCTGTAATAATTAGGGTGGGCTGAGGGCGAGTCCTTTGCTGTCTAGATATGAGCAAATGACTTGGCGTGTAGGTGACCCCGAGATAAATGTTTCCAGCGCGGCGTGGCGAAGACTTCAGCTGGGATCGTTACGAGCCGCTCGTAAATTCACCCCCCCCCCCGTCTCATCGGAAATGATTACATGACAAGTCATAAAATGTCAAGAAAATCTGGGTTCTGTTAAATGCGAAGATACTCGACGTGAAATGAGGACATGATTCCCTGGAAAGAATGTGGCGGGAGCCTGTCGTAACCTATTTTAATGCAAATGGCCGGCATTCCGTAGGGAGAACTCGGGGCGAGATTCGAATAGAGACGTAGGAGTACTAGCCATTACACGGACGCGTGCGATAAGAGGTTTGCATGTCTCAGCGTTCCTGGTGCCAGCATGACAGAGTTCCATGATCCTGTGCTCTTACTTTTTGCTAGTCGTCGATGACTGAAAGGCTTAAAGCAGGGATCAATGTGTTTTGAGCGAACCGCGTTTTGAACTTCTGATATTCTCTATGATAAAAAGTTGCCTGATATTGGAAACACATTTCCTTGTGAGAATTACAGTGATTTATATGACGAACATACTGTAATTATCCATTAATGCATTAAGTTAAATTTCACAAACACGTGGGCCCGCATAGAAGTGACAGAAAGGACTGCGTTGTTGCACACAAAGTCCTTGCTTCCTTTCCGGCTAACATCCAGGTGAGAGGAAGGGTCATGTGACCGGAAGGGCGCTCTTCCTTTTTCGTCCACGTATCCGGTTTGTCAATAGAGGACGATCGGTTGTTTTATTGCCAACGGAAACTGTTCGCTGTCGTGTTGGGCTGTCCTTTGAGACCCTGCGAGACGAGGTATTACCAGCTGAGGGATGCTGAAGAACATTAAGCAGCATTTCAGCATAAGGACCAGATAGGAGAAGCAGTTTATACATAGTCCAACCAAGAAAGCACATTTCTTCCTACGCGCACTTTCTAAGTTATGGCAATATCAGCTCAAGTGTTTACCTGCTTTCGTAAACAGGCAAATGCTTTCAAGTTAATGCGTGACGCAACACTTTGAATTAAAACGAATTTTACAACACATCACAAAAGTGTTAAAGTTGTGTTACCTTACCTCATCAGTCTCTGATTCTATATAATTGTATCTCTGATTAATATGTTTTCGCACTGATATTGTAATACGATATCAGTTTCTCAACAAATATCTCATAGTTTCGTAAGTATTACGCGCTTCTATTCTCGTCAGCTGTCAATTACATTACTTTCAGTTATCTCTTTATAAAATGTGTTCACTGCTGATAAAGTTGAACAAAACTGTCAAGTACTCCCGGCAGGAATTACTGTAAAAGAAATTTGATTGAATTGTTGTGGAAGGTTGATTGTCTTGTGTCGGGGTAACAGATAAAGACAACTTGTGAGCTTATGGCGATGAGTCATGCAGTTCCAGCCAGAAGCCCGGGAGTGACAGTTGCGTTAAACTTAAGTGAAATCATTGTGACTTCTATTTGTTATCTTATGTCAGAATAACCATTTTTATCTTTGCATGGAATTTGTATGTAACTCATATAGTTTTCCCGAAAGGTTATTATACTTCATCTTACTGCTTATAAGAACTTATTAGGACTACTGTGAAATATTTATTTAACCCAAAAAATAACGACGTGATAAGGAATCAGTGTGTCATTCTTGTTAAGGTAGCTACAGGATGTTTTCTTTGTTGCAGCTATGTGGTCTGGCCATCCTGATAGCTGGCGCACTGTCTTATGCGAACATCGACAAAATTGACAAACATCTGCAAGATGTGAATATTTCTGGGTCCCCCATAGCTCTGATCGTCGTCGGGTCCATCGTCTTCGTGGTCGCTTTCTATGGCTGCTGCGGTGCCATTAGGGAAAGCCACTGCATGGTTATCACGGTAAGGGACAGTTTTCACACGACGAACTGATTTTGTATTCCGAAGAATAAATTGCTTTTACGCGGAGGACGGATGGAACTATTTCAAAGCGATCGCAGCTCACGGGAGTTTTGTCAGAAAAACACGCTGTCTTCAACTGTTTACAAATGCATGCAAAAATTTAGAGGCAATCTGAATGGAAGACACGTGGAAGGATAATATTAAAACGGATCGTAGAAAATGGGGTGTGAACTGGATTCATCTGGCTAGGGACGAGTCTATTATCGTGGTGTAGTGCACAAGGTAATGAAGCATCGAGTTCCGTAAAAGGTAACTGTTTCTTTCACTAGCTGAGTAACTATTAACTTGTAAAGGAGAATTCGCTCCGTGCAGTTACGGAAATTACATGGAATTATTTAAAGAGCTGGGTTCGTATGTGAGAGAATTCAGCCCGGATGTCCCAGTGGGAAACATCTGAATAGCTCGTTCTGAATTCTCTTGGAATAAACGCCTTGTTTCCAGTTTGCGGTGTTCCTGCTGGTGATCCTGATCGCAGAGATAGCCATTGGAATAGTGGCTTTCGTGAACAGGGACGGTTGGGATAACGCAGTCAATGATAGCCTCTCCAAAATCTTCAGTCAATATGACACGAACGGCACGATCGCTGAAGACATCAACGATTTGCAGAGAACAGTAAGTAATTGTTTCATCCAGAACAAATTCGGACCCATTATCAGTCTGCAAATAGCCAGTGTGGGCTGAAGAATACTAAATGTAGGCATCGAAAATAATTTGGAATGAGATTTATCATCTTGGTATTTGTAGAATCACCCGTAAGGCTCACATTGAAATCATTTAAGTGATAAAACGTTGAGAGATGTTTACGCTTTCCAGATTTCAGTGTTGTGCATTGGTTGATCCCATGAAAGTAAGAACAAAGCATTTACAGCCATTCACGTTCACAAACCACCATAAAGACTAAAACAGAATGTAATAATATTGTAATAAAACGTGAATATAACTTTGACAGTCTAATTATTAATAAAAATCATGCGTTTTTGGGCCATTTCTGTAATAATTAGGGTGGGCTGAGGGCGAGTCCTTTGCTGTCTAGATATGAGCAAATGACTTGGCGTGTAGGTGACCCCGAGATAAATGTTTCCAGCGCGGCGTGGCGAAGACTTCAGCTGGGATCGTTACGAGCCGCTCGTAACGGTCACTCAGGCGCCAAATAGATTACCGATATCTAAACCTTTCTCGTGATAATTATTTCACTACAACTGTTTGACTAGCTTGAATGCTGTGGCCTTGAAGGACCAGGTTCCTGGGAAGGCAGAACTCCTATACCGGTAGGTTGCTGTGTAACTGCAGAGGGAAGGTGCGAGGTGTACAGCGACTCGAATCAGGTCTTTCAGGACGGATGCGAGAAGAAGCTGAAGGAATTTATTGATGGCATCGGTCTGCTGCTAGGGGCGCTGGCTATCGCAGTTGGGGTAGTGGAGGTAAGTTATTCTTATTGTTGTGGCAACTCTGTTCTCTCAACAACGTCCTATTACCTTCAATCTTCTTTGTCCTCATTCCCGTCGGCCAAAAGTTCCTCTGACACGTCTTAACTTTAAACAATTTTCCCTTTTGCCACCCTCCGTAACAGTGCCTTCTTCAGAAATCGATCCTTATTAAGGCCTACGTAGGATACCAGTTTTTTATGGGGCCTCTTCCACATAAACAAACGTCATATACCCGTATGCAAATGGAGGCAATGAATTCCTGCAAAAACCTTGGTAACCTTCAACACCACCACACACCATTACAATCCAGAAGCCCATAACACCTAATGGACACTGTTATTATTATTATTCATCCACAAATAGAATTTTTTTTGACAGACACAGACTTTGCCAGTTTCCAACAAATTCTGTGTCTGTAAGATATATTAAAATCTCAAACAGTCACAAAATCTAAGTGTGGAGATGTCATCACAGATAGTTAACACATCATAAAGTAAAAATATATAAGAAAAACAGGAAACAGTCCAAATTTTCGAACTATATTTTTAAAATTTCGTTTTGGAACTATTTCATAGCCTGAAAACTAAAGATTATGTAAATTAGAGCATGTTAAAGAGTTGTAATGATGGCAAAACATTACGTGTTACCACGTGACTGACGAATTGTGTGTTTTTTATTTTTATTTCAGATTACTGGCGTTGTATTTGCCCTGTGCTTGGCCAGTTCCATCAAGAACTTAGAAAGAAGAGGTAGGGGTTAACAGTATGTTCTAAACTTTTGTTCCCCACAGAAAAGCATACTTTGTGCTCCCTCTTGTTTGAGTATGAATGGGACTTTTTTCGCACTTTTACTTTCCATATAAAATTGTTTTCACATTGTCGCCTTTCAAAATAAATTTTATGGAAAAGAAGTTTCAAGTGACATCTGATGCATTAATTGCGTAAAGGCAGAAAAGAATCTCCCTGTATTTCGCTAAAGTTTTTGCGACGCTGTTTCAATAAGAGCAATAGTCTTCTGTAAGCGCCGGATAAACTATGGGCCCAGATGCAGTTCAAGATAAATATCACGCAGAAGCTACATTATAAATACAGTGAGATTCTTTCCGAGTGCCCGAGCAAATCGCGAAACTACTATGAACTTCAACGTGTGAATGTAAATGTTTTGCTGAGGAGAATTTGTGCAGAAAAACGGCCATCATCGCCATCTTCTGCCGTAATGTGGGTAAGTTTCATTTTTAATGTGTGTAAGCCGCAGAATTGTCGGATCCACAAACGGTACGAACCTTCGCGCGTTGCATCACGGGACGATCGTCAGACTTTTTTTTTTTAAAAAAATCACTGTACAATTTATCCACACGCTTACGCACAAAGCAGTTAGGATTTACAGGACGTTTCGGTTGACGCGTCAGACATTTGCCTCGGGGTGAATGCTAAGTTTCATTACCCCATTCTAATGTATATAACGTAAAATAAATGTGTCCCTGGTGCTTAGTTAAGCTCCACGTCATGCAGACGTATGGAGGTTCAGGTATCTTACGTAACCTTAAATATGCAACAAACAGAAACAGGGATTAGGTGTAGGAGTAACGTGTGAAATCAATTGAAACATCAATTTAGGAACAATATATACTTTCATAACCTACACTTTTTACATTTAAGTACCTATCATAAGTGCTATATAAAAATATGACTTCACAGACGACACATTCAGACAAAAAAGATTTTTCATTCTGAAGAGAGAGAGAGAGAGAGGAAATATTGATAACAATAAGTATTTAACAAACACAGAAGTAAATACAGTCAAGAGTTGTGATATCCATCAACACGAAGGAAAGAGTAAAGTTATGGCAACTTAAATCTATGAAGAATATTTCCTGAATTACGTGTACAGATAACCGGGTTGAAAAAAAACATGGGTCATGATTTTAATTCCGTAACAGCTTAAAACATTCCTTGATTTGAGGTCGTATTTGTAGTTGCTAAGCAATGGAAGTCCTGAACAAACCAGCATTTCCCAGCCACAGAGTTTTCTCACGCAGAAGATTAAAATTAAAATGGCGATTCTCGCGTATCCACTAAGAGTTTAATCAACACATGAAAACAAAATAACATTTCCAAACTTCCCATCTTTATGAAGTGCTGTTTCGTTTACTCCGATCGAAAATAAATGCCGTGTGGACTACGATAAAAAAAAGTTAATATAATTAGCACTGGAAACAGTGTTGGAGACCATTATCGAACATTTTATTTGTATGATAATTTCAATAAATGATTTTATGTTGTGACATAGCGATTGTATGCTTTGTTACAGTTTATTAAAGGATCCTCTTTAAGGCGCCAACGAAGACGAGGCCCGCAAAGAGTTACCCCATCAATTTCTGTCATCAGATCTGAGTCATCCTCCGCTGATAACATTTTAAAATAAACATAGATATTTATGCATTGTAAGTTTCTAACAACACACGATTTGTGAAATGAAATCGAAACCAAGTAAAATAAACTTTTTTTTTTTACAACCACCTGCAAAATGGCTTCTTAATTTTAATTGTACGAAAGACAAAATAGTACAATCTTCTAATCCTGAATTTTCCCTCTTAGTTAAATCGTTTGGTAAATGCTGGTTTGGAGAGGACTGAGAGACTCCCAATTTATATCTTCATTTCCCGGAAATTACATTTCGATTTTATGCGTAGGTGGATCGTTAGGAAATTGTCTTTGTTCCAAATCCTTTCGCGTTACGTATTACTAAATTCTCAATTTATTGATCCACAATGTCCTATGTCTGCTATAATGACTCTGTCGCACGTCTTCAAATATTCATTAATCCAAGAGTTTTGAGTTAGTCACTTCTCATCCAACAGATAGCTTAAACATTTCGTAAAACTAATCAGTTTTTGTATTTTAAATAAACTAATACTGATTCTGAACATGACCTGATCACAATCAGACCCATCACATCTAATAAAAAGTAAATAGGTGAAATTTTAATAGCGAAATCCATTATCAGATCATACATAGTTTTTGTTCAGACGAAATTCATCGTAATCATGATACCGAGAAATTGTATTTATATAAGATATGTAGACCACACAGTTTTCTTTCAGTGTTCAGAAAATAACTAAATTCCCTTTAAAAATAACTATGATATACACTGACGTAAATATGTTATTGACATTACTCATGATACATGCCTAGGCCTATTTACCGTATTTTCAGGATATTAAGAAGCGTTCTTATCACATTTTGAATTCATGACATCGGAGTGCGTTTTGCATTTGCTGGTAACTAACAATCGATAAAGCGTCCTTTTTCCTGAAAACCTGTTAGTAAATTAGTAAGTCTTACAGTCGAGGAAATACGGTATTTCAAAATTAACTGAACGACGGATTTGTGGTTTCCAAATTTACTTCCGGTGAAATGTATGTTAAATTGCCTCGAGTATTTCTCTTGTTGCGCCTTTGAATCGCGCATTTGTGTATTAAAAGTTTTTTATTTCATTTATTTAAGCGTAACAAGTGAAACAGTTCTTAATTAACAGACGGTATAAACTCCTGTAATTTGTTTGCTATTATACGAATCAACATTTTGTAGGAATATTTTAAATACTTGGCAAATTCGTTCCCTGGTTTTAACACATGGTCTGTGTGACGCCCTTGCATTTAGCGAGTTTTTTCGAAAATAAAAGTTGTGCGTGATTCTGAACAGTGGCTGTCGAAATATGAGTATGTTTAAATGTGGCCGTGATTTCCTGCTTTAACCAGCGAATCCTTCAGAAAACCCCACAGAAAAATCAGGAACTTAGATCATGCACCCATGAGGTTCTCAATAAATGACAGGAAATATGTCTCCAAGCCCGCGTAGAAACAAGCCAAATTCGTTGTTCGGTAGGTTCGGATAAACAACAACATTTACAGCGCCTTACAGGAAAACAGCCGAATATTATATCGTAAGACGACCTGCGTGTTAAGTGGGTTGACAAACGCGACGTGAAATTCTCGGCAGCCTTAAATCTTGTACGTTTGTTGGCCGCGGTTTAGATATCCCCCAATCTTGGTGTAGAACAGCAGTTGGTTTATCCCGCCCTGAAACGATCATCTAAAATTCTGGTCACGTAAATAGTACTGTGTTCGTTAGGCCCTGGGTCTTGTCCTCGGCCCGGAGGCCTGCTAACCAAACTGCTATTTTTCGCGTCCAAGTCCCTCTGTGTGCGCGCGCACCGGTTTTGTGCCTCATAGTAGGTCATGACCACGTCTCTCACTTTCACTTTTCAAGGCCTATCACCTATGTAAAAGAGAAACACTGCTAAACAGATAAGAAACAACTCGAATTAATGTCTGACCGACTGAACTGAATCCTACTGGGAAATATACAGAAATCTTAAAGTAGATTTGACTTACTGTGCACTTTGAGATCCCTATGAGTTACAAGGAGTAATCTTGCTTGGACTTGACAATGTTCCGACAGTAGTAATGATGAATAAGCACGCACTGCTGAGATATCTGTTGCTTCAAACTGATTCACAATACTGTCTCTTTAAAACTATTTGCTTTGCACAATACGTAAGCTTTCAAAAGAGTAAATGTTTGACTACAAAGACTTCACAGAGTACCATTTTGTACAAATGAATGCCACAGAATGTTGCCAACTGCTAATAGATACAATTCTCAAGTATATACAATAGGCTGTTCAACTGCAAGTGTAGCTTTAACCCTGCTGGAAGTATGCGGCAACCATTAGCAGCACTAGCTTAAGACCCATGTGAACCCGAGTATTGAAAAGAAATCCTTCCTTCTACAAAGAATAAAACTTCTGCTCTGTTCGTATCCAGTTACTTTACTGACACTACGGTAAAACTAAATTTTCCTCTGTGATTAAATACCACGAAAACAAGCAGGTAAAATTGAGGTAAAGTTCAACCCATTATCCCCAGCACTCAATGGAAGAGGTTATTTTTATGCTCCATCCACTTTTCCCTTGCAGTAAGATACTTCCTTCATGGAATTGGATATTAATTGAGCTTTAGAACTTGTCTAGATATGCAAAAGAGAAAAATGTCTGCCTGTACCAGGTATTGAACCTGAGATACCCAGCCTACAGCTAGTCACTTTGCTGAAAATAAAAATGTTATATACTTGAGGATCTGGAGAATACTACGTTTATTTGTTACACGCAGTTTGGATCATGATATTGAAATATCATTTTATAAGCCGCTGAAAGCATGACCCGTATTTTAAATATACGGTGTGCGAGTCTGATCTACTATAGTTAATTTACATTGCTAGGTACAAAATTTTAATTCTGTGTAAGTGTGTAACATAAATTTGGAAAGGTATTTTGTATGAGAGATTTACAATCCATTCCCAATTTAATGAGAAAAACTATTTGAAATGTCATGATTCACAAAAAATTATAAATCACAGAGTATTTCAAGTATTTGAGAAAATGTTTTGTGTTCCTTTAGAATTAAGTACTGCTTTTAAATACCCTGATATATTTATCCACAAAAATTGAATGTTTGCATAGATTACGTAAAACTTGGTACATAATCCGAGAGGCATGATTCAAGTTGCTTAGCAGCTACAAACAGAACCACAGAATATACATACCTTTACTAAATTATTTTACATTTCTGATTGAGTTACAACAAATAACTAAACAGAATTACAATGAGTATTTTCTAATATATACAAAATACATGCGGCATGTCCGTCTAACCGGAGACAACTTTGTGATCTACACATAAAATAGATGCTAGAAATTGCACATTGCTTACAGATATTGGGATGTAGCGTCATAGTCTTTATTACCGACTATAACAGTTATTATTGTTACATATCCCTATACTTTTATCAATAATTTAAATAACTATTAAATACAATATAGTAAATAATACGCTGTCGCTAAATTCAATACCACCACATTCTTTAAAATTTAAATATACGTAGTGTATTTACTTGGGCAAATTTAGCCCCATTATGTGAATTGTTTATAACACATGGGTTTATGTGGAAACGGCAACCAACAAACGAAGCACAGTGGCGGTCTCCTGCATGCTTAAAATGAGTAATGTTTTAAGTGTAGGCAGGTTTGCAGGTAAGTGTGGAACACACGCAAAGCTGTAGTATTGTTACAACTGCTTTGCTTTATGTACGTTTAAGTACTAGTAATCAACTGTACTTCATTAACTTCAAAGCAGATATGCTAATTAGGTTTGAATTTATCTCAGAGATGATGATCTGGATTTATTTACATTATGAAAGTAAATTTATAACTTTATAAAAGTTTACCAGTATGCAAAGTAATGCAGCTGTCTTGCAACGTACTATTCCCAAATTTTAAATTTTTTTCTTTTGAATACAGTACTACGAAAATACTGAGGATTAAGAAGACAAATCTCGACACTGTTATTCAGACGTCCCATGCTGTGGCATTGCTAGGTTTTAGACCCCACAATGTTTGTGAGTGACTCAAATTTAAGTAACAACGAGGAATAATTTAATGGAAAACCCTTTCACTGCTTCAGGTCTCGTGTAATTTCAATCATTTGTCAAAAACTGTAATTTCTTCTGGTTTATTTTACTTTTCATAAATACAACAGAGCCATGGCCCTTAAATATTAAATAAGAATCAAAATTGTGTTTTATTAAAATGTGCAGGTGCATTTTTGGCAGTAACCATGTTTAAAACTCTCGGAAAAGATGCATTGCTTTTGGATGTATGTAGATTTTGTGGCCATTGAAGACGAGAAATTTGGCCAGACATGGTACGAACCTGCACACACAATAAGGTGAGACAGGTTCTTATAAGGAAGGTTTTCATCTATTGTTTCCATCTGCTTCAGGCTGATAATATCCTGGACCATGATGGAGGAGAATAACAAGAGGAATCATAAGTAAGCAGTTTGTTTCTGTCCCCTTTTGCTTCTCTGTTTTTCATTTTCAAAATGTTTGTGTTTTGTTTTTATGAACATGTAACTAACAAGTGTGCATTCCCTTGTACCAAGATGGACGAGATTAACAAGAATTATAATTAAACAGTTCTGCTTCTATGTCACATGCTGTTTGTTGTCGCAATGCTCTGTATTTTAAATGTATTCTCTTCTCTGCTATTTCATTCGTTTTATAAAATGTACATTTCAGTTGTATTAGTACAAAATTTTTGTTTTTGAAATTCAAAATTAACTTATAAAAAAAGAATATAATGAAATACTTAGATGACTTTCAGTGCTTTTCCTACTTTGGAATTTACACTAATAATTAACCAAATGAAATTACGCTACCATTGTAGTATGTACAAGTCCTCAAAAACAAACTTTACAACTCTGTTAATGTATAAATTACCTTTGATGGGATACTTTAATTTGTAAGACAGAATTTCACTGACCGAATCTCAATCAATTTCATTCAAGTGAACAGAAGGTTACAACTTCAGTGCACTGAAACTGAGAAAAACTGGAACACTATTTTTTCTTCAGACCATAAAAATGCAGCTAACGGTAAACCAAGCTATGTAGATATGCTTCAGTATACATTATTACTACTAATATGATAATCTACTAACATTAACAGCAATGTGCGATGTGTAATGGAATATTAAACGCCTCGCCTTTCAGATATTTCGTGTGTATTCTGGCTCTTGATATCCTATCGGTCTGTTTTCCAGCAAACAGAACCAGTTATCTGTGACATGCAGTTTATTACTGTCGTCATGGCAAATATCAGATAAGCGTGAGTGTCAACAGGCACTTGAAGGATCCTTCTGATATTTAGCTCGAGTTAACTTTGTGGAATGAATTTTTTTAAACCCCTCGTATTTTGGATTGGGCAGATTCTTTGTAATATAGGCTACTTATCTGGGTTTAAATACTTTACTATAAGTAACACTTTATTATAGGAAAAATGAAAGAACAGTATATGTAGAAATTTTCAAATCATCAATTGTGTAGTGTGTTCACTTCTGAAAATTAATTAAACAACATCGAGTTTTATAGATACTGTTCTCATAAGCATCTATTGTGTTTCTAATAGCTGTTGGGAATTTGGAAATATTAATACTTTAATTTTTCAATTTCGATGTTTGTGCATCAGCAATGATCAAATGTGAAGGAAGATAGAAAGCTGCTAATCTAAAATCTCTTTAGACTACTTTCCTATTTCTATTTCCACACCTTTCCTGTATAGGGAAAACTGAACAGCAGCGCTCAATCATCCCAGGCTTATCAACATTTGATATGAGTCACTGACACATTTATGAAATTTATTTGGTCACTACTTACATAACAGGCACTGACTGATTGGAAATGATAAGAGGAACAAATGGCGAGTAAAGTGAATCCTGAGAAAAGACCATCAGCTAGAGCTACTCATGTAATCTTTCTTAGTTTCCTGAATATAAGTATTATGTACCAGTGGAGTATAGTTTATTTGTTAATTTTGTGATTTCATAGAACTCGAACATATAAATTAATAGACTGGTTGATACTTTTAGTGTCTTTACAGTTTTTGAATTCAGTGATGCTAGAATGGGAGAAAAAAACATTTTAAATCATTTACATTTGTTTAAATAATTATTCTTCATATATTTGAAAGCAGCAATAGTTAAGTAACCTGTTGAACTGTTCAAAAAATTGTATGTATCATTAACTCATATCACTGTTTGAAATACTTATTTGCAAAGTTACTGATGATGTTAACAAAGACTGAAATGGGCAATCAACTATAAAATTATTCATTGTTTCATACCATATTTAGTAACAGATTTACTGTCTCAAGTCACGTGAGCGTGAGCTTCTGGTATTTCATTACTTCAAAATTAACACCAATTATTAACCCCTTAAAGACTTCTTTAAATGGCAGTGCCCTAGAGACAAGGTATAGCTAACCATGTCTCAGAGGTGATGACAGTGGGTTAATGCCTGTAGTGTTTGTACTTTCTAAAACCTGTTGTCAATTTACAGGCATAATTAAAAAAAATACATAACCTAAACAATTCATGTCACTTCGATTTTGTATTGCACATGAATTATTTTCTCTATTCATGTACATATCTTGCTGTATTAAATCTTTAGTGATAAATAATCATGCATGAGGTAATTTTGCATTTGTCTCATTGTGTTAACACTTTTTGTTTCAACTGTTTTATACATTTACCATAATTTTTTTAATATCTTTATGATAGTGGTCTGCAAGGTAATATAAAACTTCTAATGTTACTATGCCTTGATATAAAATTCAGAAACATGTGTTTTATCAAATCTGTGACTGGTTTTCAAGTGGTTAAAGTTAAGCAAATACCAAAGGTATCACGGTAGCCCTTTGGAAATGTTACATCTTATACACAACAAAGAAAATAGCTAAACAAATACTGAAATCAATAAACCATATTCTAAAATTGCTGCTTTTGAAGTAATCTGTATAGTTCTGAGCCAATTATTGTTAACTATGAATATTTAATAAATATTTTGAGTTATGATACTTTTGTTTCAGAATATGACAGCTATGAACAAACTGCAAGGTACAAATGGACATAATGAAGTGATCTCTAAATGACTGCAATTGTGAATACTTTCTGTAATTTAGTTCACAGAACTTTATTACTGTTTCTTGTGTAGATTATGGGCATTAAGCGTTAACTCCATATTATAATTCATGATTCATAAGCAAGTTTTAATGACACAGTCATCAAAATACAGACTGAATTATGTTAAGAGGAGATGAAAGTTGAGTTTGAAAGTATATAGTTTAAATCTTGCATAGGAACAGCTTATTTTAAATAATTTTTATTTTTTAAAAATATTTTAAGTTTTATAACCCATAGAGTTCAGAGTTTCACTGCATTACATTTCCTTTAGTAGGGACTGTGTAAGAATGTTTTCTTCCCAAATGTTTGTTCTGGAAATAAGGTCCAGCAGTCACTGGCCATTATATGTTACTGAACATGGGAACAATTAAATTATCATATTTACTGCAGTTAAAAGAATGTTAATGGTAATTATATTCTGTTAAAATTATTTGTAGGCTTGTAACATTCCTCTTATTTTTTAATTACTATTTGATTTTGACGCAAAGGTTTTGAAGATGTATTCACTCAGTGTACTGTAAGTTTACCCACCGTTTTGCCGTAACTTATCACATAGTTTATACCATTATATTTACATGCAGGAGACCCAGTGTGTTGTCATTTTCTTCACCTTATCTAAATGCAGCTGCTGCTGTTCTATTCAGCATATATTTCACTTTCTTTCATCCGTTCACTCATTCTTACATTCATGCCTAATGGTTTTCATTTTGCACAGTCTTAATCATAAGCTCAATGCTTTCAAAATTAGGCCAATATAATGCTATAGAATTATATTATTGGAAGCCTGTAGTTGTTTTAATATAAAATTGTGTGGACAATTAAGTACACATATTAATTTTTAAAATGAGGTCTTTATGGCTGTTGTGTGAATTTCAAGAAATATCTGATGGTATTTATGAACGTTATTTGAAAACCTAATTCGAATAAAGAAATTGAGAAACAATCACAAAACCTTTACTTAATGCAAGAGGACCTAATGATGTGCCAAGTTAATTTGAATAAAACAAAATGTAGAAATTGTAAATAAATTTTAGACAAAATTCCCCAAAGTGAGATTTTCAAGTTCTTATGGTGGTGAGTAAGAACATGGTTGTCTTCTGGATTGTACCATGTCTTCTATAAGATGTTTCAGTGGTGCTTACTGCACTCATCACCTTGATGATGGAGGCAGCAAGCATCTCTGAAACAACCCAGTAAACAGCCATCTTCGGCATCCTTCAAAATTTGTACAACTAATGATACAAATGTACTTTTCTCTCAGGCACAGGACAGACTGAAAGTTTCAAATGGCCAAATTTCTTAAGAATATCTGACGTGGATAACTGAGAAAGAGACTACACTGTGTGAGGCAAGAATCACATACTTTAAATTAATAAAAGTTAAATTACTGGGTACAAAATGGAATAAATAGAGCAAGGAACAATGTACCAGTTTCTGACATTAATATCACTCTTTGCTTCTGCTTGCAATTGATAATTCTAATTATTAAAAAAAAGGCACCATTATGACAAAATATGAATCTAACAACGCAACAACTGAAAATTATAAGAATTATCAGTATCTATGGTAAAATTTTAACTGGAAATTAACATTCCTGTATATCATTCCACTGTACGTACAAAATAATTACATCTACTTTACCATTTCAAGGGAAAGTAGGTCCATGACACACAATGGCCACAGCATGGAGAATTATTTACTGTCTGTTTACAAAGTAAGGTTGAAGACGGGTATCGTGTGCGCCTGAATTCTAAGAATTTACTTTACAATCTGATTTATATAATTTTAATTGGGTCCAATGATTTATATTAAATATTCAGAACATATGAATAATGTGAAAGAAATTAATTCCCATATTTCTGCTTTATGTGTCTGGCATTTTCCCTTTTAAAATGTGCGCCTTAAAACTGCTGAAGACATTAAACATAGACCATGTAATCGCTGGCACATAGGGTTCAACTTTTTTCTTAGTTTTGGAAACCTTTTTCTTTCATAAATATTTGTTTTTTGTTGCATTAAAATTTATGCAGAATTACAAACCCACCTTTGCATTCAAGCACAGAGACAACCTATGAAGTGGAGAATGGGTACCTTACGAAGTAAGAATTTTATGTTTTATTTTTATTTTTGTTCTCTGAACATGTATTATATTTCTACATATTTAACTTATACTAGTATAAAGTTAAATTAGTCTATTTGTAAAATTTATAGTGTGAATTATTTCTTTAATCTTCTCAACATCTTATTCAACTTTTCCTAACAATGACTATAGCCTACTTAAATTAGTATTGAACATTAGACAAGTGCGTGTGTGTAAAAGGTGGCCAATGCGGGAGTGCCGGGGGCTGTAAATGTCTCCTGCTGGATGACCCTGTATCTTTATATTAATTTTTAAAGCTTGGATCTTCATTCACAAAAGAATATGCAGAGAAGTGACTCTGTTTTATATGGACTGATGTTACAGGAGCCTTGTATGTACTTCTGCGACCTTTAAATTTCATACATGTCAGGATGAATTTATTCAACTGTTCCTTAATTCTGAAAAATGTCTAAGAAAATGACAACTCTGTTCTGCATACAATTCCAAGTAGAGACATATTTAGCCAGGAATCTGATCATGTCAGAAAAATTCAGTGTGACCACAAAATACTTTTGAGCTTTTGATTAATATCTATATATATATATATATATATAGCCTGCATGTGATTTTATTCTGATGAGGAGATAGTATGTTTGAAACTCAATAAAATTGCCAATGTTTGGGGTTAATATTGAAGAAAATTTACAAATAGGCCTAGTGGTTAACTGTTACTGGGACTAGTTGAGGCTTGTGTCCAAGCCTTTGGGAACCAAAATCCACTTAAGCCAGCCAATTACTCTTCCTGGTTTTCAAGACTGACTGAGGAACCTGAGAAGCTAGCAGCACAAGAGTCACTGAATGACAACTGCCCTCCTGTTCGATCATCGCTATCCTCACTGCTAGGAGTTATAATTTCTGGTTCCGACTGCGATGGTTGTTTCTTGGGAGGTTGCAGCTGCTGTTGGGTCTGTAGTCTGGAGGGTAATTGCTGAGGGGCTGCAGGCAGTTTCTGGCATGAGCCAAGTGTATCGCAGGAAGAGGCGCCACTTACTGATGTTGTCGAGATGTCCTCTAGAAAGTCAAAGCTTGCGACAGCCTCTCGCTCCTTGTCACCATAGCGCACAAAGAAATCATCTCGCCCAATGATAGATGGGCGCGGAGTTGAAGTGGGGTACCGCAGCACTCCCAGCTGCTCTCTGGTAGCCGACGCTAGAATGTGAAAGCTGAGATGGATCGGAGTTATTTTCAAAATGAAAATAAATAGTTCTTACAGTAGGTCTTATTAAAAAAAGTTATAAATCATCACATAGAGATAATAATTTTTGAGTCTAAATACAGATTTTTAGCACATTGTGCATATAACATTGTAGTTAGTAGCAAAATGTGATTAATTACTTTTATTGAGGTTGAGTAATAACCAGTATATGGTATTCTTTGATACTGGGTCTACCCATTAGCTTTGTTGTTTACTGCTGATACAAATCTATTTTTGCAAAGCCAACTGCACCAAGCTGGACCAGAAATATTAGTAAATATCAGTGTACATATGTTATTTTGGGTAGGCTAAACTGCGCAACTGATAAATGTTAACTGGTTTTGTGTTGTCTGACATTGTTTAATGCATGAATCAATTATCATCTAGTGGTGAATAATAATAACAATGACATACTTGAGGCTCACCTGCAACAATTGCTGTTTCATTGCTTGGCAACTGTTTAATGGATCTCACAACAGCATTACAGCGGTAAACAACAGCAAATATATATGACACCGCAGCCTTCTGATTTTAGAGTCTGAATTTAATTGTAAATACAAATAATTCCATTTTTTCTTCGTGCAATGCATTTTCATGCACTAATTAGTACATTAGTACTTCCAAGTGCTAGTTATGAAGTTGAAGGACAAATGCATTACAGAAAACTGGCTTCCTCAAGCACCAAAAAAATTCAGTTTTACTCTCTATATACATGAGTTATTGTGTTCCGTCACGTTAACGAGAAATTAAAGAAACTGTGTTGAATGACATATTGAGATGCTTTTGAGAAAAACTGATAATGATGAGTTTGAAGTGCAAGTGTAATTGGTTTTAGGTTTAACTGATACAAACACTTGTTAATATTTGTTATGGTGTGTGCAATCTTTGACCACATTTAATATCCATGTCCAACTACAATGTATTACAGCATCATCTGGCAGCTAATCCAAAGGTAAGCCTATTGGCCAGTTGCCATTTCATAGGTCTGTACTGATCATGGAGGCAGTAAGGACCTCTGAAACATTATTCAATATATACCAGACTACATGGCACAGCATCCCAGAAAGTAGCTATCTTTATATATTGAAGTACTGTACTGGAATTTACCTGGGGGGAATGAAGGGAAAACACAAAATACCTAGGCCAGGACAGACAGTCACTGGGCCATAATGTGAATCCTGGACCTCCCAAATACAAAGGTGCACTAATCATTTGGCTACAATATTCAATCTACATAGGTTACACAGTGTTGAACGAGACTGGAGACGATAATATATCATTAAGTTGGTAAGGATCTGAAAGGAGGTGGTCAGTGCATGTTACAAGAAGTTTTTGATACATTAAACCCATTAAGTAATCAAAAGCTCCACTCTGAAATACTGTTTGCAGATGCTGACAGCTGAAATGTAACGATGTTTAACATGCATTTTTCTGAAACAGAGCTTATAAAAATGTGATTTTTGAGCGAAGAGTGTTTTGCATAACCCATGTAAAGAATATTCTTAACTTCCAGAAATTTCTGGCAACTACACAAATGTCTGGTTTGTGTTAAATGCTGATTACTTGCACAAATTAAATTATCTCTAATCATAATCATAAACACTACAAGATATATAATTTATTTATATATATCACATGTAAAACAATAGTTCTGATAAATTATGTGTATGAAGCAGAGTTGTTGAAAAGCTAATAAAAGCTAGTCACTCAGATATTTAAGAAATATAAAACCTTGAATTTCTTTCTTAGCTACATCCCTGAATTTTTTCATTCTTAAAATTTATGCAGACAAATTTATTTGGACGCTAATGTTGAAAGAGCCCGCACAATTGCAAAAACCTATCACTGGTTATCTTAAGCCACCTCACACCAGTCTACACCTTCATCAGCTATTTATTAAGATATATTTTAATATTATCCTCCCAGGAATGACTCCTTCCAGTCGATTCCTTTCCTTCAGGATTTCCAAGTAAAATTGTGTCTACATATCTCGTCTATTACATTCATGCTACATATCCCATCTGACTCGTCTTCCGTGATTTGGTTATGGAAATAATATCCAGGTGCGGGAATATTTAGATGTCAGGACAGAACTCTGGGAATTAGTAAAATTTTGAAGACTGTACTTTCTACATTTTAAGAACTAGTTATGCTGAACTAATTGCTAGAACCCATTTACTCTTCTACCTATCACAAAATATGCTAAGTGCAACAAAATAAAGTTTACGTGCATTTTCTCTTATTTAATCTAGATTAATTATAATTACAGTTATGGTATATGGGACAAAGCAGTGAGTGCGAGGTATGGTAAAAACATTCCTGGAAATATTTTATTTAATTAAAAACATGGAAAACACAAACACCAGTGTAAATGTCAAATGTATCGTGAAGATCAGTACAACACAACATAAAACAACACTGCCTTAAAAGAAACTTAATTTTGAATTAAACATGACCACAAACTACATTTCTAATTACTGAGTAAAATAGGAATCTCAATTATGAAAAGAAACAAAAAAAAATATCATGTCCGTTTTCATGAATCATACATAAATTAATGTTTTCATGCTTCGAAGACTTTACCGCCAAGTTCCAGGCCCGGACTAGACGGGACTCGATAGTTCTGTCATTGGCGAAGAGATGGCAGTTTTACCTTTCTTCTGTCGGCGAAACCTATGCAGTCTATGTAGGTGCTGGTAGTCTGCAGGCTCATCGCCACTGTCGCTACTATTACTGCTGTTACTGCTTGCTCCCGAGCTGCCACTCGATGCTAGCATCACATCTAGAAGATTTGCTCGTGCCTGAACAGTGACAGTAACCAAACAAATCTGTTCAACAGTATTAAATGACATAGCGATTCCTTGCGACTGGTGGACTTCCATACATATCCAAGGTTGCCAACCATGGTATTTGGTTATATGTATTCACAAATTCATACTATGGTTTTCCATTAATTTACACATGGAGAAATTGATGAGATCCACATTTTCTGAGGGCAATAACTTATGGTTTGTCGAGTGTTAACAATGCCCACAGTTCTCCTAGCCCCTAATTTTGCACGTCTGCAGTATTTTTCAGGAATGTATATACCAAGGATGAGGAAATGAAATCTTGTGAAATATTTTCCTACCTCTCTTAGTCGCCATAATGTTTAGAAAGGAAAATTAATTGATTTTTATTTTAAATTTACTTTTTCATTGTTCTTGTTGAAAATACTGAGATAATTTTATGTTTATCATGATGCTTAACATGTCAGCTAAATATAGAGCCATCAACCAAACATCATTAACAAGAAATAAGCGACTACAAACTTTCAGAAACATTTCCTGCAATTCTGCTGGTTAGTGTGAGAGCCACAGAAGCAGGAAATTGCCTTCAAGCCATGAAAGTGTTGAACTAAAATTTCCAATGTGTCACATGTTTTTTTTTCTCCCCCAGTCTTTGAATTCTTTAAAATTTAGCAATTACGAGGGTACTTACCTTAGGATCAGTAAAGTCTATATCGCGCTCCACATGGACCCATCCAGTAGGACAACAGCAGGCCAGATCAAGCTTCGACGCTCCAATTGCAGTGGCCGCGTCTCCTTCGCTGCCTGTTGCAACAGTACCAGAACTTCCACTGGACACTGAAATTGCACCATCCTCACCCTTACGTATCATTCTGTTCAGCTCGTCGATCACGTCTTTGGAGGTGGCTCGATCGTGAAAACTCACTGCCCAGGCATGTACAGATGCATCTGTTACAATCACACTATTACCACTGCTTCCTGAACTAATACTGCCAGCAATGCTTGTCTGAGACACCGATAAGTCTAATGAATGCTGCTGTTGGGTTCTGCGTGTGGCTGGACTCACTACAGTATCGGGAGTAGACACGGTAGAAGTCATTGATTC